CGGTAAAAATAAAATTGATAAACCTGATATTGTGCATACAATGTCACGGGATTTCAAATGGTTATTTTTCATTTCCTCTGTACCCTATGCTTGTTTTCAAAACACTATACAATAAAGGCATATTCTATTGCAGATAAATGGAAAAAATCGCCTCTGAACAAACCAAAGTGTTCGTTTGGACTTTTTTTTCTGAGATACACATCGTGTGTTATCAGAAACATACCGGCGCACAGTGGATCGCGTCAATCAGAGAGGTCGGACATTAAATTTTGTAGTAAAACTGCAAATTTTGATGTTTTTTTCATCATATTTTTAATTTAAAGGGGTGTTAATAAATGAATTTTTCACGAGAAAACTAATTGAACCACCTTTAGAACCTCAAAATTTTGATTAAAAACGGAGTTATAGGCGTTTAAAGTTACCAAATTTTGTCCGACCTCTCGTATTGACTCGATCAATTGTGCGGCGTATGTTTAGTTAACATGCCTGTTTGTCAAGTTAAACTACATTTTGCAATAAGGAACTGCTATTTCTGACTCATTCGTGTAATTTCGTATTTGCATAGTGGCATATGTGTTGTGTCTTGAGTGGATGAGAAATACGAAGTCTGCCCCAAAATAACTGAGAATTGGCGTGCTCTGAGCAAACTACAGATATTGAACCTATGAATATACTATGTGCATTATGACGTAAGTCCTGTAATGCATATATGGGTCTTAGAGAATATGTCTTAATGTATATAGTTCCTTTTAGCAGAAATACGTCCAACTGCCTAAGTCAGGCGATTAATTTCCGCATGAATGGTTTCCATTTTATTTTTATAAATTTTTGTTATTATACTTTATTTTTTTCAATTTGATTAAGTACTCCTACCCTATCTTCGTGCAACGAAGGCTCATGAATGCAATGAGTGACACATTTTGGGTTATAGGACATTTCGTCAACGATTTTTTGTCCGCGCTCCTGTTTTTTCCAGTAATTTACGTCCACGCGTTTTTTCGGCATGGGAGTTTTGGTCCACGTGCCAGCTGAGACCCAAAGTTAATTGGCCCACATGCAAATACAAACGGTAATGTAGCATCGCGTCCATGATATTAGACTCCATGCTCAGCTATAAAATGTTCAGTTGCTCATCACGTCCAAGATCTTGGACTCCATGCTCACTTTAATTAGGGATAATTTTTTCGAAAAATCGAGGTGAGCATAGCGTCCAAAAGTGTGGGACGCAGGTATTCTCCGACAATACACGAGCATGGGGTCCAAAAATGTATGAAGACAATTTTTGTGAAATATAGACGAAACAATGTGTTCTCGAAAAAAATTGCACGTTGCTTAGGTTAGGTTAGGTAAGGTTAGGTCAGGTCAAGTTAGGTTAGGTTAGGTTAGTTTAGTTCAAGCTAGGTTAGTTCAAGTTAGATTAGATAAGCGAATATACGATTTTCTATCATGATGAACTTTAAAACTAAGGGGGGTCTACTTGCTTTTGGACTCCATGCTCAAGCAAAGAAGTGAGAAATTTAGCGATGAGCATGGAGTCCAAGATCTTGGACGAGATGAGCAAGCAAGTATATCACGGGTGAGCATGGAGTCCAATATCTTGGACGCGATGCTACATAATCATACAAACGACAATTGGTCACGACATTTTTGGATGAAAATGTATATTGTCTTGGAAGAATGAGGTTTTGCTTGTTTTTTTTGCTTCGTCTGTTTGGTCCAACGGAGAATAATATATAGTTGAAAGTTTTGGTAAAAATGGGGGAGCGTCAATTCCATTAGACAAAATTCACTAAAACTCTCTACATCTCTTAGGTGTAACAGAACTTAATTATCTTTCAAGAAATTCCCACCTTGTTATACCTGATCCAGATAAACCTCAATATTTGCCTCAGCTGAAGGCTCTTAGATTTTTCCTGTATACGATAAGTATCTTGATTTATTTTGCCAGGAAACATCTTTACTTTTAAAGGATGCCTGTCATTCTTAATACGTTCAATTTCGTATAATACTGTGCAACACCTTTGTTGTGAAATAGTTGCTTCAGGCGCCGCCGCACGGTGGGCGGGCGGCCAGCGCAAAACGCGCATTGGCGCCTACAAACCTAAGTGGATACTTCAAGCATTATGCAATGCGTGAAGTATCCACTTAGGTTTGTAGGCGCCAGTGAGCCTCTCGCGCTGGCAGCACGCCGCTCCGCTCTGTTCGGCTTTAATATTTATACTCGCATAGTCAGCGTTTTTTAACTCATGATTTTGAAATGTTTGCACACACTGCATTGATTATTCTCATTTAAATTGATGGGAAAAAAATATGTATCAATTTATCAAAGGAGAATAATAATATAATGTGTGTTTTTTAAATATTGGTGGTTCCGTGTCAAATTCAATGATTTTCAAAGCACTTTAATTTTTTCTTTTACATTTAGTGCTTTTATTGTGCTGCAGCGAGGTGTACGCTCAACCAAACGCTCAAAATTTGACGTATTTGACTCTGAAAGATCGATGTACAAATGGGTTAAAACTAAAGATTTGCGTGCTTCTTGGTTTTTTCCCCTCTTTTATTCATTTTTGCAGTTTCTGTCGGCACAACTGCGGCTCATTGAGATTAATGTTGCTTGGAAAAGGTTTTACAAATGTTTGTCACGTTTTAAAAATATAAGTGTTTTCAAAACGAAGTAATAATTTCGTAAAGAAAAAAATAAAAAAAAGTACCTATACATATATAAGGTATATTGTACATCAAATATTTTAAGGATGAAAATAAAACCAAATATTCACCAATGAGGATTTAAAAGAATGATTCAAAAAGAGGAAGTAATAACATTTCATTTAGAAAATGAGCAACCATAACAACACCTGCTTCTCTCTCAATTTCTTATTTCCATATTGTCAATATAATTTTACATACCGACTAAAATATAACGCTTGGACCAAGTCACTGTTGCTTATTTTACGTGTGGGCGTAAACTACTGGACAAAAAAGGTGCGCGGACAAAAACTCGTTGACAAAATTTCCTAAAACCCACATTTTGTTATCAAGAGCGGGAAAAATGGCGGGTATTCCGGCTTTTTCAATGGCAAGGTCTGGATGCAACTATTCTTGTTCTCGGGATGTTCGTGTTGCATACACAAGAAATTGCGGGCGCTCTGTCTTCCTAGGGCTCAGTGTATGGCTACACGGTCGTCAGTTCTCAAAGGTTCTCTATGTTGCATTTACAATCGTGCTTACGGCTCACCATGAAATCCTCGAAATTCACAGGTGAGTCGTGTAGTATCATGGCAGCGTTGCGAAACGGTATAAATTTATTGCGGAGATAGTATCGGTGGTTATTTGTGGAATTCACATCCACGACCACGATGCCTTTATGAAAATGTTTTTGGTGGAGGATTTGCTTCATTTCACAACGCCGCCGTATCTCCGCTAATCTCCTTGGAAAGATGTAAAAATCTGAACTTTATAGTAACTTCATCGTGAGTTTTCTCCTCCCTGTAGGGAGAAAAAATGGATCGTATTCAGCAAAAAGTAACCAGCGCAATATCAGTGTTGTAAAAATGTTGCTTCTTCATAATGATCCGAAAAATCTCTCAAAATAGCAAATTGTTGTTGCTACCTATCAAAAAATTGTCAATTTTAAAGGAAAATAAGTGTGTAAATTTTAATACTGTACTTCTTGGGTATTTTTAAAGGGAAGAGGAACTTGCACGATTTTGAAAACTCTTTGATCGCGCTGATTCCTTTTTGCTAAATGTAACTAGAGTGCAATGTGCGGTAGGTATGTAACAAGAGCGTTGTGAACCAGTGGCGTGGCGTGCTTTGCGATGTATCGATTGCTATGCCATTTAAAGCTATGGTAAAGAATCGATTATTAAGGTGTTCGCTGCGAACACCCTGTTTATCGATCCTTTTCCATAGGTTTAAATGGCATAACAATCGATTCACGCCAATGCCTCTGTTGTGAACGGGGCTCATGACTTAAAGACGACCACGGGCAACCTCGGCGGTGGCATCGTCGCCGTTGACGTCACTGGCGCTTAATAATTCCCATTCATTCTTACGGACCTCGATTAACAAGCACACCCCTTCTTTCACACCTGTCTTCGGTTCCGTTTAGCAGAAATACGTCCATTTACTCATTATTATCAGAAGTTTTCTTGAACGGGCCACTAGATAAGGTCTGAAATGGTCGTATTTCTGTCAAACGGAACTAAGCGCCAATTTGAGTTCCTTTGGAGGAATTTGGAATCCCGGATAGCACGTTCAGTCAAACGGAACTAAGCGCCATGGAAAAACATTGCGAGTATAGGATGGAATGAGCCAGACGCCCGGTTCCGCCGCCAATCAAAGCCCCCCTATAGCGCTTAGTTCCGTTTGACAGAAATACATCCAAGTAGAGGAAAACGTTACAAGTATTCGCTTCAAAATCTTAAGTAGAAAACGATTCACATGACGGGAAGTTCGAAAATCAACTCCTGAACAAGATGTTAATAAGTCTTTATAACACGGATTCAGAAGTTAGACTATACGAATGACATCATTTGTATTTTTTTCATCTAACCAATGTTAATTTAAAACACTTACATCATGTTCAGGAGTTGATTTTCAGACTTCCCTTTGTGTAATTTGTTCTCCTTATGATATTTGAAGGAGAAAACACATAACATTATGATTTAATTCATACCTTATTGTCTAGAGATCCATTATTACTCAATCGTCCATCGTCATCCAAGAAATTTAGTACAACTTTTTAGTTCTCAGATCGTGAGTATTTCCCTCACCACCTTCGAAACACGCACATACATGTTATGGATGTGTCTAGCACATCTCCTCGTACGCGTGGGAATGAGGGCATCCGTATAAATAAGCGCCGGTCAGAAGCACAACACTTGTTTTCTAACAAAAGAAATTGCCCTTATCTTCGATGACGCATAATCTGTTGATGTAAGTCTATGATCCAATGAGACAGGCTCAATCTCAATACTAACTTCAAGAGGATAGTTATCTGCAATTAAAATAATCCTTAGAATGCTTAATAAGCCCAGAGAAAAATGCAATATACAGACGAAGGTTTCGACAAGCTGGTGCACTTCCCTCTGAACTTTCGTAATAGCATTTCATTAGTTTGATTCAAATTTGATTGATTCTAGTTTTTAAAAATTTAGCATTTAGATATTGTGTGGAGGCTTCCCTCGTGATCTTAAGGGTGATTTTTGGCGCAGCTGCAAATTAGGAGCCCAGTGTGCAGTGGATGATCGTATCACCTCGATAATAGTGCAACTCACAAGATGACACAAGTTTTTGGTTTTTTATTATTCTCAATTTTGTCATTGGGATCTACGGAAGGAGTTCCAGCTTTAACCCAGAATTTGACCCAGCTCGATTGGTGGGAATCAACACTTCTTTATCAATTGTATCCTCGATCTTTCAAAGACTCAGATGGAGACGGCATGGGTGACCTGAACGGTATGTATAATTCTATATGTAGAATTTTACCTATCTTTGTGATCGACTGTTATTTCACTCAGTGGTAAAAATATGCCTCGTTCAAAATATCCATCGTTCTACATACGATAACACGTTGTATCACCTAATCGCACCAGTGGCATTTCATGCCTGATTGACATGAACATGAAACTGAATTTAGGTGTATTGCTATTTGAACCGAGTTTCACAAGAGACACCACAAATCATGTTAAGTTTAAACCGAGATAAAAGGAAATTTTTCCCCCTTGAGACTTAATATCAAGGATAGAGTTTAATGACTACTTTTGTGTTCGAAATATTTTTTCTCCATTTTGAATTTTCTTCTGTCAAAAATTTACGACAAGTTGAAGTAAAAACTACTTGTAGCTCATTTTCCCCCAAAATCCTCCTTGACGCGTCTCTTAAACTCGGTCCATTTTGTTTCCAATTTTCAAAAAAGGACAGGAGACATCCTTTACGTAGAATTAATACAAAGATTTGAGGGTTTGACGTAACAAAGTATGGAATACATCGTCCACGAGTCCATTTCGTCCACGCACGACAGCAAAAGACATTAGAAAAACGCAGAATGCATCGCAAAACAATAATTGAGGAAACGATTTCAATATTCAAGATCTAAATTTGTAAGCTTTTCACTATCATAATTTCGGCCTTGTCTCCACGAGCCGTTTCGTGAGATTTGTCCCAGGGAAAAATCCCACTTACGAAGTTGGGAAAAATATTGAGTTAACCAATATTTTTCCCAGTACCAAGTATGGTGCTTGTACCCCTCGGACCCACTGAGAGAAGAAGAAGAAGTGAAAACGAATTGTGAAATATTTTATTCATTACTACATTGTTAATGTTTGTTTAGTTAAAATAATGTGTCTAATTGTCAATTGAGTGCATTTATTATTTTAATCCCGGTTAAATACTCGACTTTAACTAATTTATCTTCCCGCGCAAACTAGTCGCAGGACTGTATGAGCCCCGTCCCGTGGAGACGGTAACTGGGAAAAATCCCAGAAGATTCATTCCTGCGATTCGAACTTGGGAAAAATCCCATGAAAACGTCCCGTGGAGACAAGGCCTCAAACGCAATCGACATTTTCCCCACTCCCTTCAAAGTGCGATGCGTCTGAGATAGAAAACATGTACTGAAAAAAATAATTTGTGAGATTATTTGACTTAAAACGTCGTTTCTTGCCGACAAAGGGTATTTTTCGATAACGCAAATTTGGAAAAATTTTCAAATTTTTCACTCTTTTTCAAATTGCGTGCCAAGCCGACACCGTACTTTGTTGAAGGATGAGGTATCAGGTGATCGTCAACTTGGCGTTAGCATCATAAAGATGCATTATTAGCACACGAATAGAGCACCTTAAATATTTATTTCACGGTGGCTTTGATCTTAAAATTTATGAAATAGTAAATTCTAATTAGAAATCCCGTAGAATTTGACACACTTTCATTGCATTCATGATGTTTTTAAACAAAAAGACGATGCACTTAAATTAACGATCCTCATGCGAACAAATGGCATGCCACGGATCCACGCAACAAGCGTCTCGAGGATCCACATGGGGTGGACGAATGGAACGTAACAATTTTTAAAACATCTAGTCTTATCCGCGCATATTAAGCTTTTATGATTTTCTTACAGGGATCACCGAGAAACTAGATTACATAAAAGACTTGGGTGTGGATACGATTTGGATCCAGCCATTTTACAAGTCACCGATGTTTGACATGGGCTACGATGTTTCGGATTACAAAGCTGTTGATCCGGTCTTTGGAACGCTGGATGATTTCAAAAAGATGCAAAAAGCAATCAAAGACAAAGGTTACCCTTTCTCTTATAACGATTCTGATCGTAATTTAAATAATATCATCTGATTTTATGAGTTGTAGAATTTTAGAAGCTCAATTCTTGGGGCTCTTTAATATTCCATGGAGAGTGGAGAGGTCATTACTTTCTTCATTTGATTATTTTGAATTCAAAAATGTCATGAATTATGATAAATGCAAGGACGATCTAAAATGAATGTAATTCAAAATTTGTACGTATAAAAATACGTTGCTTTCTTATTTGCTTCTAACTTAAATATCTATAGCTGAAGTCGAAAAATGATTATCCTCGTTTTATGTTTTTAACTAAAACTAACCGAAATATATCTTTGGAATTTTCTGTTAATATCTTCCTCATATCTACTGGACACCTAACCATCGCGCTTTACTCGGGGACAGCCTGTCGTAATGGGTCGATGTCTGTACTAATGTGTTAAAAAGTTGCTGAGAATTGCAAGAAAAACAATTTTGGCCGGTAATCTTAAATAAAAAAGAAGAAAAAGTAAAATATATAAGCAAATATTTGCAAGGTTGCAAACAGTGATACACATTTTTGGATTCTAGCCAAAGAAAAGTACATTTCAGGCGGTGTTTTTTAGACCCCGTCAGCCGTCAGCCAAATCGGGGTAGACTCCTTCCTCTAAAATTGACAAAATTCTCATTATGATAACTTCTCGGTTCAGTCTGATAAACGCTCCTCAAACAAGTGGCGTGTCGTGCTTAACGATACATCGATTGATCTGCCATTTAAACCCATGTAAAAGGCTCGATAAACAAGCTTTTCGCAACGAACACCTTGTTAATCAATTCTTTACTATAGCTTCAAGTGGGGGAAAAATCGATAATGGATCATTCATGCCCCGCCACTGTCTCACATGCCCTACAACTTTTCATTTTCGAACCAAATTTCTGACGCAGGAATGAAGTTGCTTTTGGACTACGTGCCCAATCATACCAGCGACCAATGCGAGTGGTTCAAACTCTCCGAGCAACGTGTTGATCCCTACACGGATTATTACATCTGGAGGGACGCAAAACGTATCAATGATACCCATACCACAGTTCCTAACAATTGGGTAAGTAAGACAGAGACAATATATATCACAGACCTCGCACTAACAACAAATCTTAGCAATGTAGGCGAGAGAAGTAAAAGGTAAATTCGGAGGTCGATCAGTATTAATTCGCGCCTAATGATGGTTGATGAGCAATTCGTTGAGAAAATAATCTAATAATTTTTTGCAATTACACAGAAAAAAATAGATGGTGCAACGACAGAACCTTCTGTTCATAGAGCTTCTGCAGTTTGTTTTGTTACACTTACAGAATTTTTCTGTTCGGAACAAAAAAACTGCAGGAGCCCTGTGAACAGAAGGTTCTGTCGTCAGCACCATCAATTTTTTTTCTGTATAGGTTTGGATTGCTAAACCAATTTCTCAATTCTATAGTCATCATGGTCCAAACATGAAGGTCGACTCCTTCCTAAAGTAACTTTTCACTAAAGGAAGCAGTGCATGGTCTCTAAAAGTGTAATGTCGCTGAGGTGAAACTACTGATAGTTATCAATCCATATTGATATTATGCTATTGCGTTTTTTTTTGGTGGGGGGGGGGGCTCGAAAAATTGCAATAATTTTGGATAAACATTCTGAGCAGTTAAAACTGAAGGGGTTTTTCCCCTATTCACGCAGCTGCTACAGATTATTACGCTCTTGTTGAATAGTGACTCAGAAGCACTGTAGTCTCTTATCTATCATTACATAAACTGATCCTCTTTTAAACATGGACGCAGGTGAATTCATTGAATTTCATTAAAACACTTCTGGAAAATCATTCAATTCTTATGTTTAGAAAAGTTGATCCTCTGTTGAGGATATTAGGACGTTTTTTCTTTCTTTGCTCACTTCCTCTCTCTTTTATTTTTATGTGATGAAACGCAGGCAAACCGCCAAAAACGTTCAAACCTAAGGATATTGCACAAGTAAATATCTCTAAGGAAAAATAACGCTTCCAAATATGGCAAATTGTTTTTATTTTCCTTCGTTTTACACTTCTTACACAGTTGCAATTATTGTATTTGATTGTCGGTTTGGTATCTGAATATTTCGAAAATTGCCTCCTGTCTGTGCTCATTTTTGTATTTAATTCTATTTCTTTTCTTCAGATAAATATATTTGGCGGCACTGCTTGGAGATGGAGTGAAAAGAGAAAACAGTATTTCCTACATCAGTTCGCTCCACAGCAACCGGACTTGAATTTTCGGAATCCTAAAGTTAAAAAGGAAATGGAGGTAAAATATTTCCACATAGATTGTTTAATTTAATATCAAAACTTGCGTCAGGTTTGCAAATGTATCAATTTAACAACTAAAGCAGTTCAAACAGAAAGAAAGAAATATCTCTTTGAAGAAACATATCGACGGTGAAACTCTCAAACATATCTCCGTTTGCAACGTTGCTGACTTCCTATCATATTTTATTTTCAAATGGAAATTTATTCACCGGCAATTCTTAAAAACTGCCGTAATTTCTCTTCTCTATACGAAAAAAAGTCTGTGAAAATTTCATGGAACGATGTTGATTTTTTCTCCTCTAAAAATGTGATAGGAGTGGAGATTTTAAAACACCATAAACGAGATGCGTGGTTTGGAAATTTCAACGGGAATATACTCATCTGCTAATTTAAAATGATGATGATTCTGGAGTGACGGAAAATTGACGGAACATTTCCAGAATACCGTACAATCAAATATGTGCTGCTTGGGGCTGACAATCGCGGTTGCGCGAGTCGGTCAGCAAAAACAGGTTGCTCTTACAATAATCATCACTGTGAAATCCACCCTGGTAAAAATTGGCGATAGGAGCTGCGTTTCAAAATACCATAGGAGTTCTTATAGCCGACTGAAGAAGGCGATAGAAAATTACAGGGTGGGCCAGAAGTTCCAGGACGGTCGGCTAACTTTTGAACGGTTCGAGATAGAAAAATGAAACTTTGGGAATGTTCCTATCTCAAAGGGGACCATCTTATGGGGGAGTCAAAATTTTGGTCCCCCCTAAGGGAGGGGGTGGGGGCCCCCAACTTTTTTTTTTCAAATGGCAACCCCTATCTTGTGATACCTCATTCGAAAGACCATAAAAAACTAAGAATTTTGGCGCAAACTGCAGATCAATATCTTAATTTTTGACCGAGTTATGATACTGTCAAAGGTCAAATTTGACCTATTTTCAAAAAATCACAACTCCGGTTCAAATTATCGTAAAGAAAAAAATAAAACGAGAAAATTTACTAAATTGTGTTTGCTTTTTTGTAAAAATTGCAGAAATCACTTCGAACTAATTTTAAGGGGGGGTTCGGACCCCCAAATACGTCAATTCAAAGGTCATTCAATTTTCCCGCGAAATAAGCCAATTTCCCCTAGAGTTGCCTCCACATTATCTCAGTAAGGTCAAAATCAGTTCAACATTACGTTGGGCAAGTCCCCAAATTTCAGGAAAAGTTAAAAAAAAAACCAATTTAAACGGTCAAATTTAATTACCTTAAATTGCGTTTTTTTAACTTTTCCTGAAATTTGGGGACTTGCCCAACGTAATGTTGAACTGATTTTGACCTTACTGAGATATTGTGGAGGCAACTCTAGGGGAAATTGGCTTATTTCGCGGGAAAATTGAATGACCTTTGAATTGACGTATTTGGGGGTCCGAGCCCCCCCTTAAAATTAAATCGAAGTGATTTCTGCAATTTTTACTTAAAAGCGGACACAATTTAGTAAATTTTCTCGTTTTATTTTTTTCTTTACGATAATTTGAACCGGAGTTGTGATTTTTTGAAAATAGGTCAAATTTGACCTTTGACAGTATCATAACTCGGTCAAAAATTAAGATATTGATCTGCAATTTGCGCCAAAATTCTTAGTTTTTTATGGTCTTTCGAATGAGGTATCACAAGATAGGGGTTGCCATTTGAAAAAAAAGTTGGGGGCCCCCCACCCCCTCCCTTAGGGGGGACCAAAATTTTGACTCCCCCATAAGATGGTCCCCTTTGAGATAGGAACATTCCCAAAGTTTCATTTTTCTATCTCGAACCGTTCAAAAGTTAGCCGACCGTCCTGGAACTTCTGGCCCACCCTGTATATAGCTGGCTGTAGAAAGTGGAAAAAATCATACGGCCGGGCTTCACGAAGCGATACAAAATTATACAGCCGGGCTATAGTTCCTATCAGCGGGCTTTACACTTTATCGCCTGGCTGTTGCTTTTTCGCCATCGGCTATAAAAGGCTACAAGAAATTGTGTAGAAATTCGTGTGCTTTGTAAATCCTTCAGTTTGTATGGAATCACCTTAATATTTACAAAACGCACATATTATATTTTCCTTTGCTACATATTTTTTTTTCATCAATTACAATGAGAATAATCCATACAGAGTGTGCAAACATTTCAAAGTCATGAGTTGAAAAACGCTGACTCCACGAGATTAAATATTAGAGCCTAACACAAAGCGGAGCGGCGGCGCGCACTGGCGCCTACAAACCTAACAGGGATACTTCACGCATTGCGCAATGCGTGAAGTATCCCTGTTAGGTTTGTAGGTGTCAATGCGCGTTTCGCGCTGGCTTGAAGCAACTACGGCGCTTGAAGCAACTATTTCACACCAGAGGTATTGCACAGTATCATACGAAATTGAAGGCGCTCCAATATATTAGGAATGGCAGGCGTCCTTCAAAAGTACGGAGCTTTCCTCACAAAATAAATCAAGATACTACGGCCCAAAATGAGAGCGGTAGTCCAAAAACTCACTAGGTCCTAGCATCCGTAATTAGTAACGTTTAGCATACACTTTATCGCCTGGCTGTTGCTTAATCGCCATCGGCTATAAAAGGCTATAAGAAATTGTGTTGCCGGCTGTAGAAGCTATTGGAAATCTTACAGCCGGGTGTAGGTCTATGGTATTTTGGAACACAGATTCTACTGCCAATTTTTACCAGTGCAGGGCCTGCTCGTTCCATGTTACTATGATTTATTACTTATCTACTATCTTACGGTTGCAAGGTTACTTTTGCGGTAACGATGCTTCGATCCTCACAACAATGCTCCATTCTTACCAGGGCTGAAATCATTGTTACCACAAAAGTGACCTTAAGTATGACTAGAAAAAGAGATATGTTCTAGAATCCACTATGAGCATTGTAAAAGCAACGATACTTTTGTCCCCGCCTTTCGAAAGGAGGGGCGCGGAATTTAATATCGTTCGCAATTAGCGCAGCTCAAAGAACTCAGAAAAATATTTACCAAGACAAAACGTTTTGTTTAAAATTCTGTAGTATCTTATTTTGTTTTCAACCTCAACCCTCTCAACCCTTCCATTCATTAGACGATTTTTCAAATCGTATAATAACCCATCCGTCTGCTACTCTTAAACGACTGATAGTTGAAAAGCTCCGTTTATAATTGACCTATAAAATAAGAGGGATGATATTCCATCTGATTTGTACAAATTCTCATAAGCAAAATAATGAAAAAAGAACTTGAGTACTTAACATAAAAAGTCTCAAATACGGTTGTAATTAAGTCTATATTTAATTATCATTATCAAATAAATGGAATTTGTTGCACGAATTGAATCCGGTCATTTGATAACTGGACACAAAGCAGGACGCTCCAAATATAAAATGATGTATTGTTTAATTTCTTACAGGATGTGTTACTGTTCTGGCTTGATTTGGGGATAGATGGATTCCGGGTAGACGCAGTACCATGGTTATATGAGGCGGAACATTTTATGGATGAACCACCCGGTAAAGGCTGGCATAATCGAATCTACACGATCGAACAGCCAGAAAACGTAGAGCTGGTGAGAGAATGGAGAGCTGTGCTGGATGAGTATTCTAGAAAGGATGGACATAAAAGGTAAATTGTGGGGCTTGGAGGACAAGGCGCACATTGTGCAGTTTTTTGAGGAAATTGAAATATTAATAATTTCAAATAAAACTAATCTTAATGCACATTCTGTGAAATATTTGTTCCCAAATTCTAGTTTTTAAGCATCAAAAAGTGAGTTTGAACTTTAACTCCGCCATAAGGATTCATGAAATCTCGAAACTTCAAACACGTATGTCTCGAAACAGCAAAATCTACCTTTGCCCTCCAAGCCCCTCAATTGTACTATTAAAATTAACACAGAGCACAACATCTCGTTTTCAAATTTTTCTAGAGGTCCACTTCCTGGCCTTGCATTTCTTTCGGAGTAGGATCAAAATGAGATGAACAAGAAGAAAAAGAAAGTAACGATAAAAGAGAGAGAAAAAAATAATTGTAGAAAGTGATCCGAAGAGAGAAAGATATCAAGAAGTGCATCACACAAGAGAGCAAATAGTAGTGGAAAAAACAAGAGACCAAGAGAAAGCGTGTAAAATCATGCTGTCGGAAAATCGGTGAGTAAATCTAACTGACATAAAATAAAGATATATAATAGAGACAGCATAGGTATAGAGACAGTATAGGTATAGAGACCCGTAATGACCAGTGGGATAAAAAGATGGCAGAGACTATAGGTGGAAATGGGTTGCTTGCCAACCTTTGAGGGCAGTGTTCTGCCTTCCCCCTAAAATTTTAGGAGCCACCTTAGCCGGAAAGCCCAATTTTTAGGAGCCATCTACTACTTTTTAGGAGCCAAATTATCGCTCTCGGGTTGCGCTGCGAACGGTGCGTATACAGAGCGTTTCATCGCTACCGCTACTTCCCGATTGCGAGTTCAATCTGTCATATTTTTTAGGCACCATGATGGCCTACCCCCCCCCCCAATTTTTAGGCGCCAAGGCCCGATTTCTAGGCGCATTTGGCGCAAGACGTCAGGGGAAGGCAGAACACTGTTTAAGGGTCATCGTCTGCTATACTTGTTTTCAACTTTGCCAAGATAAATTACCTCAAAAAGATCTTTTGGAATAACAACTGTAACTTGGAGTTTTTTTTTTTAGGATGAGGGGAAAAATTCGCCATAGTGCCCCCATCATGAGGGTCGCCAACCCCCCCCCCCCCCCNAACTTGGAGTTGAAGTAAACTATTGGCGATGAATTTCTTAGGCGTTCAATTAAAAAAATCAAATTCAACCGCATTCTTTTTCTTACTCAAAAAATTGAATCTCAAAGTGGAGGAATTTTCAAAAGTTGGGTTGTTTCAATTTCAAACGGATCGAAGTTCAGTCCGTGTAATCAAAGGTTTTTTTTCTGTACACGGTGTGGCGTTCTTCCGTGGCAAGACGGAATGAAAATTTTGACTTTCATTTTGTTATTATTTTTATACTTTGCAGATTGCTGGCTATTGAGGATTACAGCCCTCCACCTAAACTCGTGGAGTACATTGGGAACGAGACACACCCGGGCTCTCAAATTGCGTTTTTTTTCTATTTGACGTTCGTCCGAAACGAATGGAACGCGACCATTGTAGACCGTGTCGTTCGATGGGCAGCCAAGTCATTTCCGAGAAGAGCCTATAATTGGGTGGTAAGCTATCTGAAGTGCCATGATCATGAGCTTCTTTCTTCCGGTGGCGGATCCGAAGACACCTTGAGGGGAGAGGGCACACTGAAAAAAAAATCTCGGTGTAGTTACTGAGAAAAGGGTAAAATTACCAAGAATTCAGGGTTCTATTTGATCCTAGTTTATCTTGGTAAAATTACCATTTATGGAATTGGTAATTTTACGGAGAAATCTCGGTAAAATTATTGAACTTTCTCGGTAATTTTACGGGACATTGGTAAAAACGCCAATATTTTTTATTGACTGTGGTAGAATTACCGAGAAAAAATGGCAAAATTACCGGGAGTCGATTACCAATAAAAGTGGTATTCTTACCTGAAAAAACAGTAAAAATACCGGTTTTTAGGTAAGCTTACCAGTCTGTCTTGGTAAAATTACCAATAATTGGTAAAAAAATTGAGATGGTAAAGGTACCAACGGACCTTGCTAAAAACGCCGAGAATTTTTTTCAGTGCAGGGAGGCCATTGCGTTCTCCTCTGACGTAAGAGCAAGGGCGTATCTCAATTTCCACGTGAGCCATGAAGAGCGTGGAGTTATATGGGAAATAGGGCTCACAAAGAAATCGAGACCCGCCCTTACGTCAGAGGAGCGACGATTTGGCGATGTCCAGTGGGAGAGAGTGTGAAGCGTACGCCCTCCTGCTGGAGCAAGGGGGGGGGGCAGGGAGCTTCCCCCGGGGAAATTTCCATGAAGAACAGTGGCGAGGCGTGAATGATCGAGTATCGATATTTCCGCATTTGAAGCTATGGCAAAGAATCGGTTATTAAGGTGTCCTTTGCGAGCACCCTGTTTATTGATCCTTTCCCACAGGTTTCAATGTTAGATCAATGATATATCGCAAAGCAAGCTACGCTAATGATGAAGATCCACTCCCAGATCGAATTTTGAGCGGTTTCAACTTGAAATTTCTTAAATATTTGTGTGTTCAAAATTGATCGACTTCACATCTTTTCTATGATTTTCTTTGAATGTTAAGTATTAAGGAAAATAACGAAAATATGAGGGCACGCACGTCACCATTTTTTTAGAAAACAATTTTGTGCTTAAACGTCGAAAGTATTTGTCTAATAGGGACAAAAATTCAAAGAAAGGATAACTGTTATGCAAGGGTGAGAGGGTTCTCTACAAATCAAGCTCGGATACCTTTTTGCGACCTCGAGGATCGGCAGCTGCGTGATACTTTTAAACGATCCGTGAATTTCTCGGAAAATTGATTAAGTTGCGATAAAAATCAAAAATAGGGTTCTAATCGGCACAATAGACAACGCTGTAATTACATCAAGGTGCAAGTGAAACAAGCAAACCGCCCTCGGTTAGTAATTTTCATCATGGCGTCTGAATGCAACTATTCGGGCTCTACGGATGTCCGTGTTGCATACCCGCGAAAGTGAAGGCGTTTTGACTCTGCCGACAGCCACCCCTTCACCCGCGGTGTGGCGCGGCGGCGATGGACAGTATTACGGCGATGCAAAATGAAAACGCATTCAATGGGTCAGTTGCGCTAATCACAGAGTCGTGTTTTGATGCTTGATTCTTGTAGATAAAGCAGAAATATTACGATCCGCCTAAACTGCAACTTTCTGCGTTCAATATTAATCGAGAAATCGTGCTTTAAAAAACTCGGTTTTTGACGTAATCCACCGCGGTAGTGACACCACTGACACCCTTGGTTTCTTTCACCATGGATTCATCAACCAGTAATACACGCAGTTTCACTGGTTGCTCGACTTAAAACACGGATAAAACCAAGGTGGCAGAAACCAAGGGTGTCACTACTTCGGTGGATGACGTCAAATGGAGATGTTGCATGTGTGAGGGATTTGCGATTTGACCATTGATTTTTATGTAAAAGTTCGCGAGAAACACGATGGTGCCACTGCGTTTTTCCCTGAAATCAACTCCCAAGCTCAAAAAAAATCTTAAATTGAGGCCAAAATGGAGGGGATATCTCACGCTATCCTGAGAGTCCACTTCTACATCAAGACAAACTCTCCATGCAAAGATAGGGAGCAAATACATTGACAGGGCTGCCACCTTATATGAGGACTCTAAAACTGAAATCACGGCAGCCCTGTCAATGTATTTGCTCCCTATCTATGCATGGAGAGTTTGTCTTGATGTAAAGGTGGACTCTCAGGATAGCGTGGGATATAGCTTCCATTTTGGCCTCAACTTGAGAGTTTTTTTTTCACTTCGGTCATCGAGGTCGTCCTTGGTGCTCAGAATGAAAAGCCCCGTCTTACTCAATTTTTGATCTTTGGCACTTACTCCGTTATTGATAGCAAGTCTTCAGTCACAAAATCCCCGTTTGATCTCGATTGGAATTGATAATTATTTCAGCTGGACAATCACGATAACTCGAGGACCAGAACACGGTTGTCCGACGAGAGTGTGGATGTGTGGAATATGTTCATGCTCCTTCTGCCGGGACTCACGAGTGTGTATTGCGGGACTGAGCTGGGTCTGGAGGACCTGAATCTGCGCAAGGATCAGCAGAAGGATCCTCTCAACGGGGGCAACGGGCGAACAGATCGTCGAGACAGCTACAGAGGGCCAATGATCTGGGACGACACCGAAAATGCCGGTAAAATTTTAAGCCGTGTTCGTCGCCGTCCCATGAATATCTCCATCCCTTAGGAGGCCCAATATAGCTTACATTGTGATTCAAGGCAATTTAAGGGAGCCGTAGGGCAACTTTAACGACTCTCAATTTATGTTTAACACACTGAGAGGAACAATAACCCATAAGTTTGGTTTCTGTGCTGCCGTGTTAATGAGGAATGCTATATGAGCCTTCACACGTTGCCATATTTTTTTCAAGAAAAACTGAATTTACTAAGAAAATTGTGAATATTTTTCCTCAAATTTTTCAATCAATTTATTTACGATTGAATCTAAAATATCTTAAAATTTGAAGGAAAAATATGCATAACTTTCCTCAAAAATACATGTTTGATTCGGGAAATTTCGGCGACTCTCGAATGTTCATACGGCGGTTTTCCTTAGCACGGCAGTATGGGAAGTAGATCTCATCTGAACCCAATGCTTCAGATTGAAACTGGGGTTTCTGTGGTTTCCATTCTTTTTTGTGCTAAACTGAACGCAAACTTTACCGAGATAGACACAAAATTTGGGTTGATTTATGTTTCACTTCCTATATTATCCAAAAGTAACATAAAAACACGAATATTACTCTCCGTGCAAAACCACGGAGGTTTCTCTTCGTTTCAAAATTCATTTCCGTTCCTTTTTTTCTTTTTTGAGGAGAAACAAGACAACTCTCTGGCTTAAAATTCATTTAGAATATTCTGCTAGTAGAGAAGAAAAATCGAAAAAAAAAAAAAAAAATTCAGTTTCAACATTTTATTTTTCATTCTCTCTCTGTCAAATCGAAAGAAATTTTCATGACTCAGTGACAAACATTGCTTTCCCAAATGACTTTGGAGCAATGAAAGTATATGCAGGAACTTGATTCGTAAATATTCAATTTTCTTGATAAAAGGTAAACGATCGAAAATCCCTCCTCCAATTGAAATTAAAGTGTCGTCATAGAAATCAAATTTCTGAGGAAATTGTATTTATTTCAACCACTTCAGTGGGCAACCACCTCTGACTCATTATAAGTTGGTTCCAGTTCACTGAATGCTGCTCAGTTGTACTAGCCGAGGGTCGAAATATTGCGAAATTCTTCGATAAGACGAGTATCATAAAAGCTTCCACTTATCTTGACTACCTTGAAAGAGGTTTTTGACATGGGCGCTATCATTAGTAATGCCATCAAAATATTCCCCGGTATCTCGAATTGGATCCAAGCAATAATGACAATAACATAATCATTTTAATGCCACCAAAGAGAATAAATCGATACTTACTGTTTCCTATGATGTGACCCTAATAGTGCCCTATTATTCTGCAGGTTTTACGACATCGAAGTATCCTTGGTTGCCTGTGCAGCCGAGTTATTGGCGATGGAATGTCAAGGCTCAGCAACAAGACCCAAATAGTCATTTAAACACTTTCAAAAGGCTGGCAGCCTTAAAAAAGTCACCTATTATTACTCATGGTGACTTTGAAACGCACGTGATCAGTACATGGGTCTACATGTACACGAGGCAAGTAAAGAAACAAAATCGGATATCTAGATGACAACTAATACTTAAAAAAAATTCCCCGCAGGAACCGTTCATCAAACACGTAACGCTCTATGCGTTACGGAGGAGGGTGGGGGAGAGTACGTAGTTTATGAACGGTCCCTTATACATTTTTAAAGTTAGACTTATGAGCTTTGAGCTCATATTTGCAGATGCACAAATTGAGCTGGTAAGGCTAATAAACTAGTTGTTGGCAACATGTTAGAGCATGTGCCGTAGTCTCCAAAATTTTTTCTCAAAAACATAAAGGCTGTCGTCAACAAAACCGTCAGACTCTGTCTATCTCTCGAAGTCTTTCATCTCCTTTGCATGGTTATAGTCTCGTTAATGTTGCTTACTCTTTCAATTTTAAGATAATAATGAAAATTATTCCCAAAAACACTTACAGTAATTACCATTAAACACACATTATCTGCCCACTCCCCCAACCGCCCCCCCCTACAATAAACGAGCGAAAAAGAAAAGAAATATGCATTTTCGATCTCTGCACAGTCTTAAACACCACTGAATAATGTAGGAAAATACTGATACGCCCCTTTCCCATCAAACCATTGGAATTACCATGTGAAGGTGAGGAAGTGAGCTGCCTGTGCTTTTGACTTCCCTCTTCCCAGAAAAACCCTCCAAAATGAAGTTAAACATATTTTAACTTCATTAATTCATTTTGTTAAATTTAGGTCATTGGAAGATGACACCATTGCAGTGCTGATTAACATTGGCTCAGAGACAGAGGAAATTTGTGTCAAAAATGTGGGATGTGCACTGCCTATTCCTATGTTTGTGCACATTCGCAGCGCCAATTCCATAGTCAATATCGGGTAAGAAAGCATTTTATTCAACGGAGTGCCTTTTTTCTATCTTTAGAGGGTTTCCTCACTTTGAGTTAATTCAATTTAAATACTCGTATCAAAGTCTTGAACATATTTTCGACCGCATTTTAAAAGACGAAATCAGACTCCTGGCTTAATTTCACAACTTGAGTCTGAAATAGATGAGTGGGTGGAACCTATATAGTCAATAAATCTATGAAATGATAGTATGAGCTAAATTTCAACTTGAGAAAATATGAAGTTGAGGTACATAGAATCAATTCTAGCATGTAAGGCCGTTTTAGAGAAATCTGAGAAAAGAAGTATGGCAAATTTTCCAGAAGTTTGGTAAATTCTATCATGAATCTACTTGATTTTTGACACAGTGATACTATAGGGAAGGGATAATCAGACACGTGGTAGCATTTACCATACTTTTGGTGAATGCGATTAGTCACAGTATTTGCTAGGTACCTTGTCTGAGGTGCTTACTAATGGTGTGGCGTGCTTTGCGATACATCGATTGATTTGCCATTTAAACCGTATGTAGATACCTTTGATGACAGCAACGAACATCTCAATAGTCGATATATTACTATAGCTTCAAATAGGGAGATATGATCGATACTCGTTCATTCTCGCCTCTTTACTGGTGATTATCATACTAATATTGCTGCACCTCAAACCATACCTTTTTCCAGAGAAGAGTTTTTAAGTGATGGCAAGGAGAATGTTATGATCATCAAAAAATATGGTGGATTAGTTTTGTCGTGATTATTTTTGAAGTCCTCCAAATCCAGGTTTTATTGCTTCTTGTAGGTCGCAAATTGATTCAATTCTGATAGTGTGCTGAGGCGTGAAAGCATCATCATGCGCCAAATGGAATAAAGGTTTTGTAGAAAAATGTTTTTATTCTAACTTCAAATGTGGCGATTACACAGTTCATTGTTTCTTTTTTTGCAGGGATACTGTATTTTCCCACGAGAAGAGCAAGAGGTGTATTCATATGAGACCACACTCAGGAGTAGTTTTGAGCACTAGCAAAGGAGTTTCTGTAACCTATTCAATGTTCATTATACTTCTAGCAGTCCTCTCAAAATTGATCTTGTAATAATTTTTACGATGAAAATAAAATTGATAAACCCGAAATCATTGTGCACACAATGTCACGGAATTTCAAATGGTTATTTTTCATTTTCTCTGTATCCTATACTTGTTTCCAAAAAACTATCCGATTTGGCCCTCTTGGCACCACCTCAGGAATCCTGACAATAATGGTGAAGAAGTGTGATTGTCGAAGAAGTCAGGTGAGCAATTTCCGCATGGAAAGTCTCCCTTTTATTCCTATATATATTATTAATTTTTTTATTTCTCTTTTTTAATATGATTCAATACTCAAATTGCCGTATCTTCGTGTAACGAAGACACATGAATGCAATGACTGATCAATTTTGTTACGAAAAGCGGGAACAATTGAAGGCATTTCGGCTTTTTCAATTGTTAGGTCTGGATGCGACTATTCGGGTTCTCCGGATGTCCATGTTGCATACCCACAAAATTGCAGGCGCTTTGGTTTTTTTTAGACCCAACGTGTGGCTGTGGTTGTTAGGTCTCAAGGGTTCTTTACGTTAAATTTACAATAGTGTTTACCATGAAAATCCTCGAAATTCGGGTGAGCCGTTTAGCACCATACCAGTGTTGCAAAATGGTACAAATTGCGGCGATAGTATCGGCGATGGCTTATGGATATGACATCCGCGACGCCTTAGAATGCACCAGAGTGCCGGAGAATTTTCATTATTTAACAACGCTGCCGTGACGTAACACGGCTATCATTCAAACTCCGAATATTTCATGGTAAACATGATTGTGAGTGCAACGTAGAACTACCAACCGCAGCCACACGTTGTGTCTAAGAAAAAAACCATAGCGCCGGCATTTTTGTGGGTATGCAACACGGACATCCCGAGGACACGAAGAGTTGCATCCAGACCCAGCGATTACACAAGCCTGGGTGCCCTCAATTTTTTCCGCTTTCCATGAAAAAATGTGTCACTCATTGCATTCTCATGGCTTCGTTGCATAAAGATTGAGCGGTTTGAGTATTTAATGAAATTAAAAACAAAACAAAAATAAGTAAATCAATAATAAATTTATGAATATAATGGAGACTATCCATACGGCAATTACTCGCCTAACTTGATCGGCGATCACACACTTTACTTACCTCTGAACCATCTCCATTTAATTTCCTGAAAAATATGTAACAATCGGAACTTTATAGTAATCTCATCGTGAGTTTTCTCTTCCCCGTAGGAAAAATGATGGAAAGCTCAAAGAATTTGAAACTTATGGAAGAGTATAAATCCTGCAGACATGGCCTAAATTGCCAACGCGGCTCCTGTTCCATCGATTTTGATGAAACTTAAGGTATCGGGAGGTACTTATAGACGAGAATCTCGAATTTTTTGGTTTTTTCAAAATTCCCTATTTCAAGATGACGAATGTGGCCTAAAATACTATCTCAGCTCCTGTCCTATCGATTCTCATGAACCTTGGGTCGTAAAGGTAGTTTTAGTCAGGAAATTCGAATATTTAGTCATTTTTCAAATTTTGAAAATAAAAGATGGTGAACGTGGCCTAAATTGCTATCTTGTGCCCCCGAAAGTATCAAACCTTGCAGTCGAGATATGTATTCTTTTTCTGTTCGTGTTCAAAATAAATTTTCCCACAGCTAATATAAACCTCAACATGAGCGCACACTTCGACACTTTTGTGTTGAACTTACTTTTTTTTTCTTTACGTTGAAAATATAAGTTAAGGGTTTAAAAATGCACGTGAAAGTCAGACAAAATATGCCGTAAAACGGAGGAGGAAAATGAGATATCTACAAACTCATCGTAAACTGAAAAATGATTCGTCTTTTCCATTTTTTTTCCATTTATATCCCAAACCACCCTGGTAAAAATTGGCAGTAGAATCTGTGTTCCAAAATGCCATGGACCTACAGCCGGCTGTAAGATTTCCAATAGCTTCTATAGCCGGCTACACAATTTCTTACAGCCTTTTATAGCCGATGGCGATTAAGTAACAGCCAGGCGATAAAGTGTATGCTAAACGTTACTAATCACGGATGCTAGGACTTAGTGAGTTTTTGGACAACTGCTCTCTTTTTGGGCCATAGTATCTTGATTTATTTTGCGAGGAAAGCTCCGTACTTTTGATGGATACCAGCCATTCCTAATATATTAGAGCGCCTTCAGTTTCATATGATACTGTGCAATACCTCTGGTGTGAAATAGTTGCTTCAAGCGCCGTGGCACGCTGCGGTGCGGCAGGCGGACAGCCAGCGTAAAACGCGCATTGGCGCCTACAAACCTAACAGGGATACTTCACGCGTTGCGCAATGCGTGAAGTATCCCTGTTAGGTTTGTAGGCGCCAGTGCGCCGCCGCTCCGCTTTGTGTTAGGCTCTAATATTTAATCTGGCGGAGTCAGCGTTATTCAACTCATGATTTGGAAATGTTTGCACATCCTGTATGGATTATTCTCGTTTTAATGGATGAAAAAAAAATATGCATTAAAGGAAAATATAACGTGTGTTTTGTAAATATTAAGGTGGTTCGGTATCAAAATTAATGATTTACAAAGCACACAAATATCTACACAATTTCTTAAAGCCTTTTATAATCGATGGCGAAAAAGCAACAGCCAGGCGATAAAGTGTAAAGCATGGCTATAGGAACTATAGCCCGGCTGCATAATTTTTTAACGCTTCGTATAGCCCGGCCGTATGATTTTCTCCGCATTCTACAGCTAGCTATATGATTTTCTGTAGCCTTCTTTAGCCGGCTATAAGAATTCCTATGGTATTTTGAAACGCAGCTCTTATCGCCAATTTTTACCAGGGCAGTTATTTGTATCACTGAACAGTTTGACTTTGAAAACTTTAACCTTCCCCCTTTTTCCCTGACCCTTCCACCCATTTGAATATTGACATCTCTCGCTTTTCGTTGGCGTTAATTATCCAAATCTCAAGTATCGATTGCAGTTAAAAACTTAGGTAGACGTAGTTGTTGAAGGTTTTTTTGCTCCAACGAAAATCGATGAAAAGTCTCGTGTCCCTCAGATGAATCGTCTCTTACGTTTTAGAAACTGAAATTACACGGTTTTATTGACTTATTTTCAGCATGATGTCCAATTTTTTTTCCAATTTTGGCCATTGGGTTCACCCATAAATGCACTCTCTTCTTGCTCCTTTTAAGTAGAGCGAAATAAAATAAATTTTAGAGAGAAAAATGTCTCGATATCCCTCTATCAATTTTATTATTTTTTAAAATATACAAAGAGTATTCGGTATTCTTGATTTGCCTCGTTGCTGCCTCTTTGAATCTTAGTTTAATCCTCCCCTGAAATATTCCTCAGGTTCTTGTAACTGTCTACGAGAAATGGCACATCTAACGCCAAAAAGATCCATTTTCCATCTTATCAAATGGTCTTATGTCGCAGAGATTATCATTATCTACTATTGACCAGTCAGAGAGATATGCGTAGAAATTTATGAGCGGATATAACGGTTTAATTGAAGAGGTGATGCGATATCGCAATGAGATCTCTGAAAGCTTACGCCCCTTCTAAATTTAACCATTAAAAACATGGACGAATAACGTACTTAGAAAGTGTCGAAACTATTCTGATTGGACGGTAGACGAGACTATCTGTTATGCCTCTTCCTCAAAACACTCAGTAGGTCAAACACACCAAAATTGTCAACGGATAAAAGCAATATCGTGAATGTTATTACTTCAAGTTAATCCGTGAAATAATACAGCGCGTAGTGAATAGTAAAGTTTGTCTGATCCTGCATGGCTGTGAGCTAACATTATGACAACGGCACTGCATTTTATATTATTTCTTACTGCGTCATTAGGTCTTTCGGAAGAAGTGGAAAATTCAACTCAGCTTGAATGGTGGGAAACAACGCTCCTGTATCAAATCTATCCGCGATCCTTCAAAGACTCAAACGCAGATGGTGTTGGTGATTTAAAAGGTGTTTATTTTCAATCCTTGCCTATACGCATAATGCATGCATGATTCAAAAAACACGAAGTAACTTTTTCTAACTTCCAGAGAAACGTGATTTTTTTTGGCATGATGAATTTACTTAAACTTAAATTGCAGCTCGGACTCTGGGCCGGTGTGATTAGATCTGAAAGTTATGAGAGCTAAATTATTCTAGGGATTAGGTACATGGAAGGAAATGTGAATTTGTGCCTTTTTTATCTACTTTTTTACAATTACAAATTCCACCTACCTTTATGCTTTGTTGATCCTATTTTTTTAATCAGCACCCAACTTTTTCTTCAAAGTAATGGACCGCAAATTATGAAATCTCTCTTCAGAAGCTCTTAACGAATTTGCTCCTCCAGTGTTAGGTAGATTATTATTTAAAACCCAGTTAAATTCCCCCATGGCCTCCAAAATTCAATTTTTGCCAATTTGTTTTTCCTCTATGTGGATGTTGCCTAAAATGCATTATTTGGTGCCGTTATAAGCACAACCCCATCAAAAGGTGTAATTTGTGCCCTTTTGAGCCTGCATGCTTAACTTGCAATTGGCTGCATTCATTGAAATTTATCTTCTCCCTTCACACCTTGTTCTTGTACTAGTTATATGCCACTTTTAAGATGCTCTGAACAAATTTAAATCACCGGAGGCTCTAGAACCCCACACCTTAACTTTAATTTTTAAAATAATTATGTCCTCGAAGGATGCTATCCGCCAATGAAAGAGTCTATTCAACGGGAGTGTTTCTATGGCTTTTGCTCGGTTAGGACCAAGTAAACCAGTAAAATGCATCGAAAAGAAGCGAAAAATATTCTATACTTCCAAACCTTACAAACCTATTTCTGTAGATAAAAAAGCTTGAATTATTGATCTCCACTAACATACATGTTTTCGAAAATTTAGTGTACTAAAAGAATGTTACGGGAACTGATGGGGATTCGGGAGACTTTGATCATGAAGTTTGCTACACGTCATTGCGTGTTTCCAATTCTAATTCAGCTCAAAATAAAATGGCCTCATTTTTTCACGGACTCCCTCAAATTAAGATCGATAGAATTCAAGTTTTTCAATGCAGGAGGTCAGGTGACTTTGAGCTTGAACTGTGAGCTTTCAATTCAACACTACTTACATTCCGTTAATCTAATTTTAACAGAAGACTACGCTATTTCTGCGACCTCTAAGAAGTTACTTTTAAATTATATTTCCTTTTCAACGTGTATATGCTTTTGCAATAAAGTTGTGTGTAGACATTTTGCCTCTTGTAAAAAGTGTGAGATCTAATGTATGTACTTTTCGAAGGTTTCCCTTAAACGGCGTCTTACGTATACCTAGTTTTCTTAAGTTATTTTCTTTGCAGGAATATATGAAAAACTCGATTACGTCAAAAGTATAGGAGTAGATGCAATTTGGATACAGCCATTTTATAAGTCTCCAATGTTTGATATGGGCTACGACGTTGAAGATTACAAAGCAGTTGATCCGATTTTTGGAACCATCGAAGATTTTAAGGAGCTGCAAAAGGCAGTAACAGATAGAGGTAAAGTATCAGAATAATTACAGATTAAAATAAAATTACATCCATCTATCATTTAATTCATTTTTAATTCACATTTGAAAACTTAGAAAAACTCTCAATGATTTATAGAGATGGAAATATTTTATGCACAGTTCGGAAACTTTCCATGAAGGAAGCTCCGTTCAGAAATTCACCTTAATCCGACCTCCCGAATGGTATTACCATATATACTATATTATGCATGTTTAAATCACATGACTGCTCTTTGAATTTTTGTCCCTTTTTAGTTGATTTGAAACATTTCCATGACCCTTGAAGAAAATTTGTGAGCGCTTATTAATATATATTTTAGATGAAGGTAAAACAAAAATGATAAACGATGATTATAAATCGAAAATCACATGCACGCGTTTGTGGTGTAACAGACGTTATAACAGAAATGAGGAAAAAAATGGAAAGGGTTTTTTTAGGGTCTCCTCTTTGGTGCGTTTATATTCTGAGTTTATCTTGTTGTAATAACTGGGCCCACTCTACAAATATTAATGATATTTACGATTTTAAGTTTTAAATTTTGTTTCATTGTTCATGTAGCTATACTTTCATTGGTTACAATCAATTTAGTTTAATGTATTATATATTCACCCTAAGGATCAAAAGGAGCTTGAAATGCATATGAATACATAAATGATGGCGTTTTACTAAAATGACGGTGAGTACGGGGATCTTTTTTTCTTTTACTTATTTTATTTTTAATTTTTGAATGATACTCCATCAGTCCCTTTTGAATCATTTTTTTCCACTACAGGAATGAAGTTGATTCTGGACTACGTGCCAAATCACACAAGCGATAAATGCGAATGGTTCAAACTCTCTGAACGACGCATTGAGCCTTACACGGATTATTACATCTGGAAAGATCCAAAACGCATCAATGATACTCATACCACGGTTCCAAACAATTGGGTAAGATTCAATGACAGCGAATAAAAATGAATCAATTTTAAAACTCTGTTTTGCTGCACAGCAGCATTTCCTGTTATAAGATATCCATATTTTAAGGTCAAGGATCCATAACTAGATTTCTTCCGATTCCAGAAATCAAGAGAGCTTCATACAACAGCTCCATTGTCTAAAGCATATTTTGCAGATTTCAAAGCTCTGCATCTTCGGCTTGGTTTTAGATATCATAAACAATTATTTTGCGCATATGTAGAATGTAGGTCCCTATAATGAGTATGTCAAGAATGCAAATAACTGGATTCTTTAAAAAAATTTTAGTAACGTTTTTTGTTCTTATTTACAGAAACCGGATACAAAGATTCTGAAAGATAAACATGTGAGATTAGATTTTGATGGAAAATGGAAAAGTAATATTCAAGTAATGAAAAATACGTTCCTCACATTGCAACGTTTCAAAATCTTTCATCACATTCCCATTCTTAAAATACATTTTCCTCCTGAAGTCCGATACGGACTTTCTTCTTCAAATAATAATTTATCCATTCGCATAATTTTAAAGCAATTTCTTTCGTTTTAGAATAAGCGTTCTCCAACTAAATATATCGTTCTATGCAAGGAGGTTATTATCATAGATTTTTTTTTTTCTTAAAGTTACCCATAAACTGGCAAATTTTAATCTTAAAGACTTAAAATTCATGACAAGGACAATTACTTTTTTTCAAAACACAAAGATGATTTATGTAAAAAAGAAACCAAACCAAAGCATTAGAGGCGATTGCCTCAAAAGGCGCTTATCAAGCTTAGGGCAGTTTGTACCTATCTTCTCAATTTCAAAGGTGCACCCTGTTTTATTAACACTATGAAAATCATTTTAAAGCTTTAAAAAAACTTCCTAAACATTTTCAAGAATTTCACTTTTTTAAAATATGTATATAACTATCCGTTAAAACCACTCAACTTGCTTGTTTCGCTAAAAAGTAAAAAAAAAGGACTTTTTAAAAATACAAAGTAGTGAGACAGTCGCAAACGATGCCCATAGTTGGCAATTTGGTCATTTAATATCTAAAAAATGCTCTCTCTGGTCTCATTGGTCTTTGCATTTTTACTTTTTCAGAAAAGTATTTTTCCTGGTTCTATGTGGACTTGGAGTGACATAAGGAAGCAGTACTATCTTCATCAATTTTCAGCGCAGCAACCTGACCTAAATTATCGTAATCCTAAAGTTAAAAAAGAAATGGAGGTAAAACGGTTTTCTAGCTTTTAAAGTTGCGGTGATGCTTGAAACGATAGCGAAACGTCCAAACGAGAAATCTACGACTTCACAAATATGCATGCGGCCCCCGAATTTCCCTTTAGAATTATGGAGATCCTATGTGAGTCCTTCATGGCTGCAGAGGGGGGGGGGACTTTCACCCCTCGATAAGGTGTCTTTGGGAGCTCCTTCAGTGAGACATCCTATATTCTTCTAGACTTCCATTGATGGAATGTCCTTAATAGCCCCCCAGATCCACCTTGATGAGACACCCCTCCCCCCCCTCTAAAAAAAACTCCTAATTCCGCAAATGATAACGAACTCGTTTTTACACGGAGAAAAAAAACTTCGTGCGAGGGACCCAAAGTTTAGGTCATGTGGATCCCTGAAGTTTTCGGATTGAGCATCTGAACACTTTAGGTCCAGCTGCTGAGGTTTGGATCACACATCTGAAACTTCAGTTCTTACATCTGAAGTACTTCGGTTTTCACATCCGAGCAACTTCGGTTCTCACATCTTACATCTGAAGAACTTCAGATGTAACAACTGGAGTTTCAGATCTGCGATCCGAACCTCGACAGCTAGATCTAAAGTGTTCAGATGCTCAATCCGAAAACTTCAGAGACCCATATGACCTAAACTTCGGGTCCCACGCACGAGGTTTTATCAAGTTGCTCCTCTACAAATCAATGTTGAGGCCTGTTTGGAGTTACGGTTGCCAATTGTGGGGTTGCGCAGCCAAGTCAAATCTAGATAAAATAGAAATCATGCAAATGAAGATCCTGAGAAGTATTACTAAAGTAAGATGGTACGAGAGGAATGTAGATATTCGCACGGACCTCAACATTGATTCAGTGGAGGACTACATCACCAAGATGTACACTGCATACGAATTTTTTCTACACCGGCACCCCAACCCTGAAGCTCTTGAGCTCTTGGAATGGGACCGATGTGGTCGAAGATTAAGACGTCGCAAGCCCTATGAGCTTGGAATCCAGGGCTTCTCAAAATTTCCTTAATTAGTTAAACCACACGTGCCTCCCTACGCTCTTAAGACGTAATCGGAGGTTTTTCGGGCTTTGACCGAGTCCGGTAGCCCAATTCCACACAGATAAATTAATAAGGCCTTTTTACTTTGAAGTAAATCTGTCTTTTTCTTTCTCCTTAATATTATAAAGGTAGTACTTTTTATAAAATGTAACTAGAATTAGTTTAATATTATTTAGACAATTAAGACAAGCTTTTAAAAGACTTATATGAAGTCTGAAAGTGTTTATTGTACAAAATTTCTATTGTGCAAATAAAAAAAAAAAAAAAAAAAAAAAAAAAAAAAAAAAAAAAAAAATACGCACGAGGTTTTTTTCTCCGTGTATGTATCACTGTTAATGTCAATAAACAAATAACATCTAATTATTTCATTTAATGCTCGTAACTCATTTCATGAGCAGTTTTTTACTTCTCCGGCCGGATAACGAATATTTGTTGATCTTAGACGCTAGATTAGTACATTAACGTGGACTTTGAAGGACGCCTAATAACTTTACTTTACTTAAAGGATGTTTTGAGATTTTGGCTGGATTTGGGGGCGGACGGATTCCGAGTGGACGCAGTGTCACACCTATACGAGGCTGCCCATTTTATGGACGAGCCACCTAGTATAAATTGGGATACCTTTCGTATTTACACGTTCGAACAGCCTGAATGCGTTGATTTAGTCAAAGAATGGAGAGCTGTGCTAGACGAGTATTCTAAAAAAGATGGAAAACCCAGGTAAATTTTATGTATTTTATGTTTCACATTGATTAATATCTAATTGACCATTTTGAGGGATAAAGTAGAAGAATGAGTATTGCCGACGTTTCAAATATTTACCAATGAATTTTGTTATTTAAAGGAAACTAACGAGCAAATTGTTTTCAAATTTTCTGGTATTTCCTTCACTTATCAAATAAGTTTCAAAGAAAGTCCTAAGGATGTCTCATCATGTCTCCTCTCTAGAGGATAGTTTTCCTCTGAAAAAATGAAACGTAATCAACAGCGATGGAGACAAGTATATTTTTTTTTTTTTTACTTTAGCCATAGACACGCATCTGATGAAATATTCTAAGAACCCCTACAGTATAGATTACTCTTTTTTCTTTTGTTGAGAAAAATTTACGGAAAGCTCCGATGAAATTTTTCACTCCTAGTGTGAAGAAAAATATAAATTTTTATTATATTAATTAGAACAGGCTACAGTAAGTGCTTAACAACACGTGAGTCAAATGGCTTTGAACATGCATATTCTTAGCGAAAAATTACCTTTTGACTATTATCACGCGCTTCTATCCATAATTTTGTCTTTCTAAAATATTCTCAGTTTATCGATAAAAATTTGGCTGAAAAGATTCTTGGTAATATGTGCACGTCAAAATAACGCGTTTCCAGTTTTTTCAAGTTATGCCAATTAATTATTGAAAAAGGTCCTCCATGTCATTGCATGAGACAAGAAAATCATTAACGGAATGTCCTGAAACCTTTTTTTCAAAAGAAATATTTTCTAAGGCAACTACGGAATATCTTTATTATCAGCTAGGCGAGTTTCCCTCGCGTCAATTGTGGAATGTAAGACTAGACCTCATCAGTGGTACTATCAAAGTCAACTACCCGGGGACATGGGGAGGTTTACTAATCTGTAAAATTATAATCGAAGGGAAGGCATGGTATAGGGTCTCCTTGATGTTCTTTGTTAGACTTGTTTCATAATGGGGTACATGATGCATGCAATACGTTAAAAAAAATATGCGACGAAGTCAGTTGAAATATTTCTCGGGTCGGAAACACAAACAGCTGTCCTGTACGCTGCCGTCCTAAGGAAAAACGCCGTATGAACATTCGAGGGTTGCCAAATTTCTCGAGATAAAACATGTATTTTTGAGGAAATTTATTCATATTTCTTTTTGAAAGTTTCAGATATTTTAGATCAAATTGCGAACAAAGGATCCTGAAAAATTTGAAAAAAAAATGTTCGCAATATTCCAAGAAAATTCGGTTTTTACTGAAGCAAATCTGGCAAGGTCTAAAGGCTCATAAGACGTTCTTCCTTAGCACGGCAGTACAGGTGGAAGAACAGGTTTGGGATCAAATACATATCGATTTTCAGTTTTCGATGCTTTGTGACGACTCGAATCTTACACTTTATACGGTAAAAATCAGTCCTATATTCCATGACTCAATATGGTTTCCACTATTACACTTTATAGACTATTGGCTCAGGAAAATTTCAACTTTCCGCACAAAATGCTGAAGTATATCGGAAATGAGACAAATCCTGGATCTCAAATTCCTTTTTTCTTTTGGTTGATGTTTGCTCGACCCGATTGGAACACAACTGTCATAGACTGGTTCATTCATATACAGACGGACACGTACCCGAGAAGCTCTTACAATTGGGTGGTAAGTCATTTCGATTTGAATACAAACCTAGGATGTAGAGTTCTTCAATTGTACACTTGTTTTCCTACATTTAACTGGCGGACTGATTATTGAAATAGATAGACAAAACTATAGATAAAGAAGACAAGGGAAAAATGAGGCGATCCTATTGTCCGAAACGAGTGGTTTGTTATAGGGTAAGGAGAAAAATGATAGACAATTACTATAGGCTCTCTCGTGGGATGCCGTTATTTGGTCAATTACTTACTTCCTTTGTCCATTGTAACCACCCTCTTCCACCCATAGGATGCCCTCCTTCCACCAAAATATAAACTTATAGCAACGCTGTATTGCCAAAACGAGCTTTTAACTCAAGCTGAAACTTCCACTGGAGGATTTTCTCATAATGAAGTTTCGCTGGGGGAACACTTGAGCAAGAAGGCTCTTTCTTGACAAAATCTTTAGCGTTTGGACCGAACTTATTATTTTTGATATTCTATATGCGTATTAGACCATCAAATCACGATTTTACGACTAGCGCAATTGAAGGGCTTGGAGGACAAAGCGCATAGGTACAGTTTTTTCTATTTCGAGGAATATGTGTTTGAAGTTCCGAAATTACATGGATCCTTATGGCGGAAAGAAAGTTCATACTGACTTTTTGATGCATAAAAATTGGAATTTGGAAGCGAATTTCTCACAAAATATGCATTAAGACTAGTTTGACTTGAATCGTTGATATATCATTTTTCTCCAAAATTGCATTTATGCGCTTTGTTTTCTAAGCCCCTCAATTCGTCACTCCTCTGACGTAAGAGCGTAACTCTATTTTGAGGTGAGCCCTTCTGCCCGAGTAACTCCATGCTCTCCAGGGCTCACGTGAAAATTGAGATACGCCCTTACGTCAGAGGAGCGACAAATTGCTCCGTGTGGGGAACTTTTTGTAAAGTGTCAAATCCCAATTTTGCTAATCTGGTTAGTGTTGAATGATAATTATTTTAGCTTGATAATCACGATAACTCGAGGACCAGCTCGCGATGGTTTGACGAGAGCGTGGACGTTTGGAATATGTGGATTTTGCTTCTACCGGGACTCGCGAGTATATATTACGGGACCGAGCTCGGAATGGGGGACCTCAAGTTACGCAAAGATCAAGAGCGGGATGCATTTGACGGAGGCAACGGTCGAACCGATCGCCGAGACAGCTACAGGGGACCAATGCTCTGGGACGGCACAGAGAATGCAGGTAAAATGCAAAGCCTCAAACTTATTACCAAAGTTTGACAGATCGTAAGATTCCTGTTTTTTTAAAAATCAAGAGCTGGAGCCCAGCCCTCTGTAGGTTGGGTTAACTTTGGTCTTAGTTGCTGTAGAAAAACAGCCACCATCACATGGTTTGTACACACTACACACACATCCATGCTCCAGGATTTTCAAATTTTCAGGGATTAAGGCCGAGTAGAATCTGTTTCAGCAGATCTACTCGTCAGATCTGAGAAAATTTGACATTACTACCGCGGGATTCGAACCCGAGACCTATTGGCCAGGAAGCAGACGCGCTGACCTAGGCCAATCTGGCTGGCCGACATGATATGGATTGCATTTTGCAAAAAAAGTATCAAGAGCATTGCAATGTTGCTAAGATTGTGTAACTTCTTTTATCTTGGAAAAAAAAACTTGATAATCTATAAAAAAAATTCTGTTTTACACGCTCATAACTGTTTTAAGACAAAAATGTCCATGTAAATGGCATATTTATGCATGATTACAGTAGTTTTATGGCGAGGGTGATGTTGCACGATCTCAGCAACATGGCAATGCTCCTGGTTCCTTTTTCCGAAATGCAATCTCTAAGTCAGATGAAAGGTGGAGCAGTGGCGAGGCGCACTTTGCGATAGCGTTGATCGATAGATCTGCTAGATAGATCTACGATTAGATTTAGACAGATTGATCTACCATTTAAATCTATGGAAAAGGATCGATAGTCAGAGTGTTCGCAACGAACACCTTAATAATCGATTCTTTACCATAGCTTCAAATGAGGAAACATCAATAATAGATCATTAACGCTTTGCCTCTGAGGAGGAGAAAGGACGTAGGAAGAAAAAGATGAAGATGATGAAAAGAAAAGAAAAGAGAAAAAGACAAGACAAGAAAAATACTATGAGAAGGAACAAAATACTTTTTTTTTTCATCTTCCTCTTCTTGTTACACCTCCTCCACTGTGAAACAAATTTTTGGCAGTTTCTACATTGTTATGTATTTTTTCAAAACTCCCTATTGATCAATACTGAATAACGAACCCCCAAATTCTACCTATGACTCCGAAAGTCACACGATGATGATATTGAGATCAGTATTGTCAATGTTAAAAGTCACTGTTTGCCCCATTTGAACGTCGCTTCGATTTCTCAGGGTTTACTGCATCGGAGAAACCCTGGTTGCCAGTCCATCCGAACTACTGGCACTCGAATGTGAAGGCTCAACAACTTGATCCGAACAGTCATCTGAATACTTTCAAAAAGTTGACAGCCTTGAGGAAGAATCCTGTTATCACCCACGGTGACTTTCAGACCTACAAGATCAATACTTGGGTCTACATGTTTACAAGGCAAGTTTTTCTTCTTCTGCTCCTTGATAAAAATTGCCAATAGGAGCTGCGTTTCAAAATACCATAAGGATTTTTATAGCCGGCTATAGAGGGCAATAGACAATCATATAGCTGGCTGTAGAAAGCGAAGAAAATCACACAGCCGGACTATACGAGGCGATACAAATTTTTACAGCCGGTCTATAGTTCCTATCGCCGGGCTATATAATTTATCGCCTGGCTGTAGCTTTAGTGCCATCGGCTATAAAAGGATGTAAGAAATTGTATATCCGGCTATAGAAGCTATAGGAAATCTTACGGTCGGCTGTATGTCTACCCTGGTGAAAATTGGCGATAGGAAAATACCGTGGGAGTTCTTATAGCCGACTGAAGAAGGCAATAGAAAATCATATAACTGGCTGTAGAAAGTGGAAAAAATCATACGGCCGGGCTACTCGAAGCGATAAAAAATTATGCAGCCGGGCCTACCGCCGGGCCTTCCTATCGCCGGGCTTTACACTTTATCGCCTGGCTGTTGCCATCGCCTATAAAAGGCTATAAGAAATTGTGTAGAAATTCGTGTGCTTTGGAAATCATTAAGTTTGATACGGAACCACCTTAATATTTACAAAACACACGTTATATTTTCCTTTAATACATATTTTTTTTACATCAATTAAAATGAGAATAATCCATACAGAGTGTGCAAACATTTCAAAGTCATGAGTTGAAAAACGCTGACTCCACGAGATTAAATATTAGAGCCTAACACAAAGCGGAGCGGCGGCGCACTGGCGCCTACAAACCTAACAGGGATACTTCACGCATTGCGCAATGCGTGAAGTATCCCTGTTAGGTTTGTAGGCGCCAAATGCGTGTTTCGCGCTGGCTGCCCGCCCGCCGCGCCGCGCCGCAGCGTACCACGGCGCTTGAAGCAACTATTTCACACCAGAGGTATTGCACAGTGGCATACAAAATTGAAGGCGCTCCAACATATAAGGTCGCCTCTCAGAATTTTTCTGGCTGCGTTTTTGAGCAATGAATTATAAGGATTAAGGCAGCTATATCCATTAGCCTCGAGAAAAATATATTCGAGTCCTTTATATTCTATCTGCCCGAAAACAAAATGAGCCAGATGGGAACTAAGCCACATTTTTGAAAAAAAATTATTTAGGTTTGGTTGTGAGCTCGACTAGTCAGACATTATCTCCAGTGATGAATTGAAAGTCCCGAAAAAAATATTTTGATATTAAAAATTGGGGTTTCATTTTATTCTTGATATTGATTCTGATTAATGCGTAAATTTTCCAACTAATTTTCATATGATATTTTGAAACCACGCTGGTATTGAATTTAGGTCATTGGAAGATGAAACCATTGCGGTACTGCTCAACATTGGCTCAGAAACGGAGAAAGTTTGTGTCAAAAATGTGGGATGTGCACTACCGGGCGGCATGTCCGTGCTTATTCGTAGTGAAAATTTGGAACTGAATGTTGGGTAAGAATAACTACTTATTTTTAATAAATGCTAGGGTCTAGTTAATGATAGTTCTGACCCTGTTAAAGATTGTCGTTTAAATTTTACTTTCACAACATATGAGTTATGACCATGATGCTGTAACATCATGATCAGAATCGACCTAATTATATACGCCATGTGCTGCCTAACAATTTTGTCTGTCAAGTTTTCGTTTTATATCCAACAACTGGGAGACATTTTATACAGAAACCTCTTGAGGATTTATTTTTTTTAATGTAGGAGAGATTTGCCAGAAGTTTCGAAATATCGTGTTTCTTCCTTTATTGTTGAGAAATTAATGCGCGTGAGTCAATAAATAAAGTTTGGCTCCAGCCGTACAAATTAATTATTTTTTATTCATCTATTTTTATAAATGTATTTTATTGAACAAAATGCAGTTGATACCTCAAGAGTCTGTTTATATACATTTTCGTTTAGCATAGTCAAATTACAGTGTACTTGAACACTGGTTTCAAACCCATTCACCATGAAATATGAGCCCACCTACTGTCCATTCCGAAATATTTCGTATAGGACCACGTTCCGTAATAATCAATGTTAATAGAGAAAATAGAGTCGGTAGGAAATAAAACATTCTTAGAGTTAGATATATTGACTGCAAAAGTGACGAGTGTATGTTCTACGTTTTGCAGAGAGAAGGTTTTCGCAAACACGAGAACCAACAGATGCATTCGCATGAGGCCACACTCAGGACTGGTTTTGGGCACGAGTACAGCAGCTCCCGTATCCTTCTCAATTTGTATTTTACTTTTTGGAATCTTCTCAAAATTCCTCTTGTAAATTTTGTCCATTCTCACTATACTCGATGCGCAGAAAGCTGTATAAACTGGCCATTGTTATCGAGGCAACTCACCAATATAATTCACTTTTAATCACACGATCATACTTTCTTTTAAGGGAGGGTATAAGAAACTTTCAAAATATTATCACCAAGTTGCTTATATTTTGAAGCAGGATAATCTCCAAATTTGATTTATTTTTTTCTTTTCCTTTTTTGATGTGTTATTCTTCTTTTTGTTTCTGTGCTGAATTGTAGCCATTCGATCTCTCTAAATAATGTTCTACATTTAAATGTCATTCATATTTGAAATATGTTAGTAATAAATTGATTCTCCAGCCAACCAACCCTCTTTTGTCTTTCTTTGAAGTGTATGGGAGGCTCATGATTGACTGAATAGTGTTTATGACTTTTGAACAAATAAAGATTAAAGGCTACTTTTTGGACAATTTTTCATCGGCTAAAGAGGCTGATTTTTTAGGAGGGCTTATTATAGGTTATCACTAAGTAGCTGAGCATTGGACGGAGTTTAACAGAAACGTACCAAGTCGCATTTTGGAAAAGAAAATACGTTAGGCCAAACATGCACTTAAAGTTCGCCTTCAGTTTCGCTGCTAGGCAACAAGCGTGGCGAAGAGCATGAATCCCCTTATTTAACCCCCTCCTCCCAAAATTTGACTTTCCCTTGAAGATTTTCTGAAGATTGTAACTTTTGACGCGAGAACTCCAAAATTAACTGGTGACTTTTTTAGAAGGCCTTATGTCAGCGTGATATAGATGAGCAGCGGAAACAGATTAGATAAAGTACGTGTTGAATATTATGGATTAACAAGAAAACACGCTTGAAAAACTTTAAAGTTATTTTAAGAGATGAAGACGGGAAGTTCCTTCCTTTTCTGCCTTCGAACATACAATACATGTAAGTTGTCAAACTTAAACGAAAACGCACATATGAAAGCATTGCTTTATATGTACGTACTTACTTGCTTACTTGCGCATTTAAGGCGACAATTAGCAATGTAAAAATCAGAAGTAAGATGTAAAATACAGATACTTCAAGACCTCTCTAAGTTATCTCCATTGAGCAAACAAAAATAGTAGAATACTGAACAGACTCTTGTTATCACGTGACAGAAAGACGTATCGCCGAGTGAGCAGATGAAGCGCTGATGTCAAAACGACTTTCGGATCTCCTGTTAATTTGATATTATACCTGTGATAATCAAATGGAGATGGAGTATTTACATGAAAATCTTGAAAAATGGGGAAATGATTAGCAGATACAGTAAGCCCATCTTGTCCGATGGCTACCCTTGTGTACAAAGTGAAACGTTTACCTTACGTTCATAATTTTCATTGAAACATATAAATTAGTGCTTCATAATTTGAAGGAGTAAGAACCGAGGGGGCTGAATTGTAAAATTTCACTCAACAATTCTTGCATCTAGTTAGAAGCTGTTGCACAATATTTTGCCTTTCAGCTATTCCCTTCAAGCTTTCTTCGTTTTATCCTCAGAAATGGATGGTGGATGGGGGGGGGTGGTCAGATCAGCCTTACTTAATTCAAACGTGCGAGGTTAAAATACGGAAAAAGTGTGCTAGGGGTTATCCCTTGAAATTGTGCTACTGCCCCCCATTTGTTGGATGATATGGACACTTCCAATTAAAATTGTGGTGGTACCGCAACTCAAGTTGGGGCAGTAATGCAACATTTGAGTCATTAACCTACTTTATTGGGGTACTACCACAATTAATTAGAAATGTCCATATCACCCAACAACATCTTGCCCCGTTCTTCCTTGTAGAGTATTCTTACAAAGGAAGCCGGAGAAAAGGGGGTAAAAATCGACAAAAATGTCTTAAACGTAATACTTAAATGGCCCCATTGTGGTTTCTTTTCTAAAATTAAGGGGTGGGTTTACCCTAGTTCGACCAATTTCTAGTCCGAACTATTCGACCCCTGGTGAGTAGCTATCTCCGTCATCATAAATCCACGCGTAATCCCGCTTTAAAAATATGAATGAGCGAGTACGTGTCAATTGACTTAGATAAGCCCTCTTCTTGTCTATCCGTCTTGATAAAAAAAGAAAATCTTGCTCACCTGTAATGACTCAATAAATGTAATCTTATGAATTCATGTAATCAATGTTTAACTCTGACAGATTAAAACTCATGAGATCTTTGCGAGTTTGAAGAGGATGACTTTTGTCATTGAGACAAGATTTGATATGCTTCAAAGTACATTGAAAATCTCAGTCCTACTAGAAATACTGTGGGGCCGGCTGCGGTTTCTCGTGGAATTTTTTGGTCTCATTTTGAGCTTCTCGCTTGGAGATATTCAACTCAGATTTGAGTGATTAAGTTGTTCTCAACTGCCTCATTGACTACACTTTCATGTCATCTATTCTTGTGCTTTGAACGGAGGCTAAAACGAAAATGTGGCATTTAGGGCATTTACTAACTTGAATCTCATACTATAGTAGATTTTCGATTTGGTCCGATACCGATTAAATACAACTAACGTCATGGCTCGCGTGTTTGGTTTCCTGTTCGTCCTTGCTGTGGTTTTCAGTTCTTCGGAAGGAGTGGGAAATTTAACCGAGCTCGAGTGGTGGGAAACAACGCTTCTCTATCAAATTTATCCCCTATCATTTAGAGACTCAAATGGAGATGGCCACGGTGATTTAAATGGTACTTAATTTTTAATATTTACCAGTTTTACGATCAATAATTGGACTGAATCTTACTCAGGAAGCTTCTTTTCAGTTTGAACTAATTTTGAGTTGTAACACTGAGTAACTCTCTAACGATAAAATGGGGAACGTTGAGATTGCAGTACCTATTTAAAGTAAAGTAAAGTAAAAAGAAAATAAAATAAAATAAATTCTGTGCGAAGATTTGTTACACGGATTCGCAACGGATTTTACTTTATTTTACTAATTTTTTACCTTTTCCTTTGTAGGGATTTATGAGAAACTGGATTACGTCAAAGAAATAGGCGTGGATGCTGTTTGGATTCAACCATTTTACAAATCACCGATGTTTGATATGGGCTACGATATTTCGGATTATAGAGATGTTGATCCCCTTTTCGGAACCATCGAAGATTTCAAGAGGTTACAGAAGGCAATCAAAGCTAGAGGTTAGTTCAGAATGATTCGAAGAGGATTCGTTGTACTGTTTAAGACGTTTTTCTTCTTGAGGTTCTTGAAAATTTAAAATTTTTCAGAAAAAGATAGATGTGAAAGAGACCTGAATGAGTGTAATTTAGATCTACTGATAAATGAAGCGTTTTCTTTTTATTCCTAAAAAGTGACGGTGAAACTCCAAACCACGTATCTCTTTTGTGCTGTTTACAAATCTCCGCTCCTGTTTCATTCCTTTAAGAGAGCAAATCAAAATCATTTCTTGCAGTTTTCACAGTATTTTCCTCTCACAGTGAAGAAATTCTAAATTATTCCAAATTCTAAATTTTAGGTTTTAAGAATACACTTTAAGTAGTTTTCCATTTAAAAAAATAAGAATGACCAGTGAGTCTGCACCGTCGCAAACCGAGATACGTGGTTTGGGAGTTTCACCGACGATGTTTCATTTTATTGTTTGCTTACATAAGAATTTAACTGTTTCGGACTGTTTAGGATTCGCTTTGAAGCTTTTACCTTTTTTGCGACAGTATGGTCACCTCTTTTATTTTACTCCAATTATCACCATGGAACTTATGAAGTACACTCTCACCCTGCTCTTTGAAACAACACGGGGTAGACGAGATAGTGGTCTGGGCCGAGTGGTTACATGAAATGACTGTTTTCAATTAATTGTGGGTGAAACTTAGTATATTCTACTTCAGCCACAACGGATGTGGTCCAGCAAACAGCTCTAGTTATGGGTCCAGTCCCAATCAATGGGATTATAATTCGCACTGAGAGAAATAAGAAATATTAGAAGGAGACCCTAGATCCACAATAAAATTATTAATCTGGCTCAAATAAGACTTACGAACAGACTTATAATTGTACATTTAGATTTTTATTCGTAATGGGCCCCCATGGGTGACCATCTTTGACTCAGTTTGGAAACGACTTATGGAACATTAGTGTTCCCATTCAGGTAGGTGATTTTATGGATGAGCCAAATATAGTGGTTCCTTACTAAAAAATGTATAGTCCAATGAGAAATGACTAATTAGACTATTTACGCTGAAAGTAACTATGTTGGCCGCAAACCCTGTGCTTTTAGTCAATTTTACAATGGGCCTGTTGCAAACTTTTGCTAGAGCAAAAATAAGAGTTGTTTCTTGTAGATAATGCCTCAAAAATCACGATGAGCGCATCGGCAAAGTCTGAAATGCACTCATAACTTCACAATCTGCGTAAGAAATTTGCGTTTTTTTAAGCTTCCCGCTTCAAAAACGATACTACGGCGTAGGTGAACATTTTGTTAGAGGAGTCGCTCCATCGTCGGCGATATTCATCATGGCCGACGCTTGCACGCAGTTCCGCGCGTAATTCAAGGAGAGTTCAAGGTCAATCCATTCGGGCGTGGAAAATATGAACGTTAACACACCGATTGTTATCTGGTCTAATCCAGTTCAGGTGTTATCTCGTCCCATCAAACGTGTTTTGGCGGATTGGCGTCGGCTATGATGATTATTGCCGACGATGGAACGACTCCTCTTACAAAATGTTCACCTGTGCCGTAGTATCGTTTTTGAAGCGGGAAGCTCAAAAAACCGCAAATTTCTTACGCAGATTGTGAAGTTATGAGTGCATTTCAGAGTTTGCCGATGCGCTCATCGTGATTTTTGAGGCATTATCTATAAGAAACAACTCTTAGTTTTGCTCTAGCAAAAGTTTGCAACAGGCCCATTAATATGTCCATTTCACCCGCAATAAATGTTGGCTGTTTCCTAAAAATGGGTCATTTGTGCGAGTTATACTGCCGTGCTAAGGAGAAACGCCGTATGAACCTTCAGACGTTGCCAATTTCCTTTGAAAAATCACTAGTTTTCAAAATCATTTGTGAATATTTTTCTAGCATTTTCTCAGGTAATTTAGTTTGCAATTTGATCTAAAAAGTCAAGGAAAATTATTAATAACTTTCTTCAAAAATGAATATTTTCCGAGACTAAATTTGCCACCTCTCGAATGTTCATATGGTGTTCTTCCGTAGCACGGCAGTAAAGATTCGTGTTCTGGTGGATACCGACCCATTAGGGCTCTATCACAATTTCAGGCTTCGATTTTTTTATTTATTTAATTATTGTTCCGTAAAACATGTGCTGTATCTTCAATATTCCTCTTGCATCTAATGTCAACCTTTTCGGTTTAAACAGGGATGAAATTGATTGTAGACTTCGTGCCAAACCATTCAAGTGACCAAAATGAGTGGTTCAAACTTTCCGAACAACGCGTCGAGCCTTACACGGATTATTACATTTGGAAGGACCCAAAGCACATCAATGATACTCATACAACAGTTCCAAACAACTGGGTGAGACAAGAGATTACGATTACGATACTTTAGAATACGAGCTCAACATTATATTTCGAGTATTTCCATGCATCCTATCAGGAAAAAATGACTGACATTCGACTACCTAATGACGTAAATAAATTAATCAAGGTATAAAAGAGGAAGGTATGATGTCGCTTTTACGTGTTTTCCTTTAGAATATCGATGGCTCTACGCGAAAAATTCGTTTCTCAATTGCAACCTTTAAAAACCTCTTAAAATATTTAATTTTCTTCAAGGAGCAGTAATTAAATTTCTTGCAATTTTGTGTGCCTTTTTCAGGATGAGCAAGAAAAATTCACAAAAAATGTCTTCATAGACAGACTGTCAGTTGGTTTTTCTTTAATGTAAATTTTAGGCCTATCAACAACTTTGCAATCTGAGACACCTATTTTTAGACTTCGACCATCGATTCAGAGTTTGAGACTTAATGAGGAGGCCTCTGATTGTTAGTATGATTCCTCATTATTCAGTAGATTCGTCAATAACCCAATAATTCGTTTTTTACAGAAAAGCTTTTTTGCTCCGACTGCTTGGTCATGGAGTGAAAAAAGAAAACAGTACTACTTTCATCAGTTCTCTCCGCAGCAACCGGACTTGAATTACCGCAATCCTAAAGTCAAAAAGGAAATGGAGGTACAACAGAATGTTTAATTAGCTAAATGATTGGATTAATTAATTTGATTCAGTTCCATTGTTTAGGGCGTCTAATTATAAGATTTCTTCATTTTTAATAAGAGATATTCCCAAGATTGCTATCCATATCGACGGTGAAACTACCAGTCTTCGTATCTCGGTTTGCGACGTTGAAGGCTTCCGGTTAAACTTTATTTTTTGAATGGCAAACTACTCAATGTCAACTCTTGAAAACTTTGGTGTTTTTTCTTCTCTGTGCGAAGACAACTCTATGAAAATTTCAATAAATTATATTTATGTGTTCTTTTTCAGAAAAATAACATGGGAGCGGAGATTTTTAAACACCGCAACCGAGATACGTGATCTAGTAGTTTCACTGTCGATATACTATCACTAAGAAACAATATCAATTGAATCAACTCAAAATTGGATCTTTTTCTGTGTAAACATGACCGCGTTATGGTAAATGAAGCGAATCTAATTAATACAACTGTATTTCGCTATTTTGGAGGCATTGGAAAATAATAAAAGAATAAAAAGCCCCTGATCTCATACCACGTCCTTTGCTAATAAGGACTCATGGCAACCGTTCCACTTAGGAGTAGCCGGTGGTCCTCTTACGCCCTAGTGTGCTTGAATTGTGAGTACAAGAAAACTCATTTCGCCTTCAATTTTTTGAATATGCAATACAGACATCCGTCGAACACGATTAGTTGCATCCAGGCGCCTAACATCAATCTCGTCTCATCACGCAAGGTCAGAACCCCTCCGCCTCTCATGCCCTAATATACTTTAGTCATGAGATTGAGAAAAGCCGGCTCGCCTTCAATTTTTTGGATATGCAATATGGAAATCCGTCAAACACGAATAGTTGCATCCAGACGTTGGTGTTAATTTAGTCTCATCACGCAGGCTCAGAGCTCCTTCCGCCTTTTACGCCGTGACATTAATACGAGATGAGAGGCCCCCACGGAGTTTTCTAATTTTGAGAAAGATAGACAGCGGCCTGATTATTCAAACTGATACACAAAAAAGGCAGAGGAACATTGGAGCGATACTTTTGGTGATTGAAACAGGTGGTTCTCATAGACTGAGGGAGAGAGTGATGGAAATTAAAAGTACAAAGCTGTAAACAAATACATTTTATTGCCAAATTTGGCCGGCTAAGCTGTATAGAACATCGTAATTGATTAAAAAATCGAGCCTCTAAGCCAAAATAAAACGAGTATGGTATTTCAAACTATACGTGTAGATGAGAAAAGAGAATATTATTTATTCTCTTTGTCCATGGCAACTACCCGTTCCCACCAATCGGTTAGCTCTATTTCCCTTTTGTCTTCTTTATATGTTGCTTCGTCTATTAATTTCAATTATTAGATGCAGTCTAGAGACCACTGTCTTCCTTTTCATCCAACTTCGAACTGAAATGATAATAAGGCATAAACCTTTTTAATTTTTCGAAGGAAGTTCTGCGGTATTGGCTGGATTTGGGGGTGGATGGTTTCCGAATGGACGCAGTAGTCTGTCTATATGAAGCCGAGCATTTCATGGATGAGCCGCCGGGTCGTACTCGAGAGGCTCGCATTTACACTTTGGATCAGCCCGAAAACATTCTGTTGATTAAGGAGTGGAGGGCTATTCTGGATGAGTACGCTAAAAAAGATGGGCATTCCAGGTGAATTGCGTATACACTTATCTTATCCTCCCTTTCCCCCTTTTTCTCTCAAGGTCCCTATGAGATCCAGTGTTCATAATCTCTTTGCAAATGTACTCCAATTGGGAGACGTTCAAGTATCACGTAAAACACTATAACAGAATGGCAGACTTCTAACCTCGCCCCTCACAATTTTTAAGGAACCTACGCAACTTCTAGAAAATTTTCTGATGAAAATTATAATTTCCTCCTTTTTCAAATAAGATAAGACTAGGCTTGACCCCTCTGCCTCTTCCTTGTAAGATCCTGTGAGGCAAGCTCAGATCCCAGCCCCCTCCTATGTAGCTAACGTAATACTTCAATGAACAATCCCGAAAGAAATGACGCGGTATTTTTTGTATATTTGGATAAATTAGACGAAGCGTAGTTTCGGACCTTATTTTGCAGCAAGGAACTAGTATTTCTGGCTCATACCTGACGGTACCTACCTGCATTGGGCAACTTATTGAACTATTGTTGCTTCTAAAATGAGCCGAATTGTAGAAGATTCTTATTGCAAAATGTAGTCCATTTATTCTTTCGTGTACAGCAATGCATTTTGAACTAATATGTGGTAGATCAAGACAGTCCCGCCAGATCCCATCTCGGGCCCTGGTACCGGTTTTAAGGTCGGGCCCCAAGCACGGAGGGGGGGGGGTCCAAGGGGCGTCTCCCGAGAAATGTTAGAATTTATGCGACTAATCAGACGCATTTTCAAGCTTCCATAAAGAATTTTTCCATCACTTTCTGCGGAATTATCATGTTTTTTTTTTCTACTTTCAGCACAAAATACTTGCAAATTGTTGCATTCAAAACTACTGGCAAATTTTTATTTTTTTATTTTTTTTTTTGGGGGGGGACATATGATACTATTTTCAGTTCTAAGAGAGCCAGGCCCCCCTGGACTCCCCCTTAGTTTGTCTATGGCAAGAGAGTTGAGCCATGAGCCATTGAAGTCGAGGGTGCCCAGGCTGGAGACTCTCAGCATCTGACGACGGAAAAAAATGAAACGCTGTTACTAAAAATATCCCTCTGTACTGAAAATCTTGAAAATAGATAGAAATTTTCCAAGAAGTATACTTCTTTGAAAATTTAAGAAGAATTCTAGAGTGCCCCAGCGTGTTTCTGAAAATCTATTTACCTTTTGCGAAATTTTTAGGGTAAATTTTTCACTTTTCTTACGAAACAAGGGTTGCATGTGAATTCGTAATGGTTTTTGACGGGTAACACGGGCCCCCTCCGGGGCCCGGGCCCCGATACCAGGGACCCAGTATCCCCGCCTTGTGCCGGGCCTGCCTTCATACACGCTGGGCTTGTCGATTTCAGCGGTGAATGCATAGCTGAAGTGCGCTACAGCTAGATTTGTATTTACAAATGGGTGGTTTTTCTACGAGGATTAAAAATAGACGAGTGGTACGGAATATAACAAAAGAATATGAACTATGCAAAACGATAATCCGGGTATCGGAACTTGCCTGTTTTGAAAACGCCTTCAAATGCGGCTTGATACTTCACGCATTCCGGAGAGTTCGAATAGTTGTATCATTGCGCCTTAGAAATGCGACGGAAGATTTAAATGGAAATAGCCTTCATGCATCAAGATCATTTTTATAATTTTTTACTATTTTCATACGTTGCAGATTACTGGCTGTTGAGACTTACAGTCCACCGCCCAGTCTTCTGGATTGGTTCGGAAACGAGACACATCCTGGATCTCAAATTCCGTTTTATTACCAATTAACGTTCTCTGATAAAGAATGGAATACGACAGTCCTGGATTTTCTCATTCACTGGCAGGCAGATATCCTTCCGAGGAGCTCTTACAATTGGGTGGTAAGTGATCAAGAATGGACCACTAGACAAGGTACGAATTTAAACATTCTGATACATGTTTCTTAGCCAGAATTTCACGTAGAGCACGATTTGCGCAACGAAAACCAACGAAACAAACTTCTAACGAAGATATCAACGTTTTTATTTCACATTGATTACGAGGAAGTTGAACTGCCCGCTCACAAGAAACTCAAAGCTCTACGTTAGTCAAATCGCGCACTACGACGGTTTCAACAAGCCTCTCAATCGAGCAATGTTCATTTCCCACCATGTGTTGTTCAAACCATAAGCAATTTGCTACAGCTGAGCCAAAGCGTCAAGATTGAGGTTGCCAGATTTTCATATCGCAGAGACTGTCATGATAACGTTTAGCGCACGATATGAATCACGCAGAGCATTGAGTTTTCATGAGCGGGTGGTTTGAATTCACGCATCAAGAATCATTAAATATATTTGGAAGGAGTTGATTTCGGTAATTTTCGTTGTGCGCATCGTATTCTACGTGAGATTTTGGTTTAGAAACATGTATCAGAATGCTGAAATTCGTACCTTGTCTAGTGGTCCATTGCATTAGAATGATGTAAGCTCTGTCTACACAGTTAACAATCGCCGTGCTCATAAAGTTATTTTGAAGTATTTTCATTCGGTCGAATCAACCAAAAGGACTTCGTGATCGACCAAAGTTTTGGTTAAATCGACCGAAACCGTACGTTTTCCTGAGACACTTGGGAATAAAGAGCTGCTGAACTAAAGTGTTTTTGGTGATTTCGATGTCATTCAGAGGTTACGACATGCGAGTGGCATATAGATCATATTCGGTAATGGTTCGATGTATCGTTTGGTTCAAAACAATAGAACATATCCTCACACAAAAATTTTAAGCTTTAAGCTAGATGAGGTGAAATTGAGGCAATTCCTGACAATTTCACCTTACATTGCCATTCTGTACTCAAAAAAATAAGAAATCTATCACAAAAAATCCCGCTCCCTCAGATTACTCAATTGACTTTTGAGGCTATGTTTATATGTTGAATAAATCGATATTGCTACAACCCACCTGTTCGATGTATCGAATACGATCAATTGGACCAGCACCATTGCGAATCGAGTTTGGTCCTGGCGGCCCGTGTCCGTTGTAAATTTTCAGCTGAAATATTTGGTCATTGTAATCCACAGAAAATATAGCCAAAAAATGGACCGCTTTAAAGTAGAAAGGAACCGAGGAGCCATCAGCTATTGCCAAATTTAATTGGAAAATTTAATGCTGTACACGAAAACGGTACTACGGATTTTTCTGTGAATTTCAGTGAATTTCCTGCACAACACGAAGCAAATTTTTTTAAATTTTCAAAAGAATTTGCACAAAAATTATCTTGTAGAAAATTAAATTTCCCCGATCTATCCTCAGTTTTGTTTCAGCCTTTCCCCAAATTAAGTTGCCATTTTATTTTAAAAGCTAATTATACTAACATGACTAATGGTAAAATGGTCCAAAAAGAATCCATAATTTGATTATCTAAACCATATTGCTTCACACGCCTATTTCTAAAGAAGGGTTTAAGTCTTTTTTTATAAATCTTAAAACTGCACTTTCTGCCACATTCGAAAAAAGAGGGAACGCAATTCTTTAAAGCCATGATTAAGAGCTGGCTGATTGATTTTTCACTCTAGATGTCAACTTGGCGTAGACTTGGCGTTTGAGTAGATCTTATTATTTGTAGCTGTGACGTATCGTAACATTGTTGCAGCTTGATAACCACGACAACCATAGAACGAGTTCACGACTTTTCGACGAGAGTGTGGACGTGTGGAACATGATCGTCCTGCTGCTGCCGGGACTTGCGAGTGTGTACTACGGGACCGAGCTCGGAATGGAAGACCTGAAACTTCGCATGGATCAGGGCCAGGATCATTTCAACGGGGGTCTTGGGCGCGTTGATCGAAGGGACGGCTACAGGGGACCCATGCTCTGGGACGACACCGAAAACGCAGGTAAAATTCAAAGTCAACGTGTATATATCCCCTCAGGGGAAGTTGTCCTAGTTACATTGACTTTTAACATCTCTCTGAAAAATAAAGAGAAGCGAGCAGAAAATTCCAACAGAAACTGACGTTTAACAACTTAATACAACAGCGTTATTTAAAAAAGGAAGAAGAAAAATTTAAAAGTGGATTTTTTACACTGCTGCTTTCTTTTTTAGTACAATTAATGAACCAAGTAGGTCAACTGTTGATTTAAAACATCCCGCCACGGTCCCGTACTCTCATGTGACCTAACGTGCCTTACTCGAATTTCGAAAAAAATGTGTTACTTTTGTTAGAAAAATCAAGTTTGGAGCGAGAAAAAATTGTTGCACAGTACTCAGATTGGCACGAAGAACGTTGATAAAATGTCAGTCTTCTGAGTTTGGTACTAAGCTTGCTCAACGTGAAAAAAGAACTAAGAAATTAGGAAAAAGTCGAAAACTAGGCTAAAAGTAAAGGAGATTACCTAAACCCAATAAGTATCGGCCGACCAAGCCGAAATACAAAGAAATGTAAAGAAAATACTAGCTTGCGGTCAGAACAAGACTGCAAATTATACAGAGATTTAGTAATGTGATAATACTGTCGTATTTTTAAATATTCATGAATACAAATTCCGAGAATATCAGTAATTATTTAGGAGATAGTTAATTCGTAGAGCACTTAAACATTAGAGAAATAAAGAATATTAATTTAGTAATACTCGTAATATACCTGGTCTTGCTCTTGGCTCTGTTGAACATGGTTTTTGACATTATTTCCTAAGGTTTCACGGCAGGAAAGAAACCTTGGTTGCCTGTGCATCCAAATTTCTGGCGAACGAATGTCAATGCTCAAAAACGGGACCCGAACAGTCACCTGAATACATTCAAACGGATCGCAGCTCTGCGGAGGACTCCTATTATGACACACGGTGACTTTCACACGCACATTATCAGAACTTGGGTCTACATGTTTACGAGGCAAGTGCCAAATCCACCAGCACTTTAACATTTTTTAAAAAAATGTTTGTGTATAAATACAATTTCTGGCTTATCCCCAATAGCACCTATCTACACAGGGAAACTGGTGATGTATATGTTGTTTTTGGAATGAACTACTAGTAGTTCCTTGTTGGGGAATGTAGTCCAACTCTCTACAATTGTCCTCGGAAGCAATTTGCGAGCGTTATAGGTAGTTCATTAGTTTGCCAAAAGCATGCCGTAAAGTTATATTATAAGCCGATTTCATTCCCTAAACAGATTAGATAAAACTTTTAAATAGCTGTCTCTCGAATTTTACTTTTTCTGGAAACTTCAAACTGCCAAAACTTCAGCTTGATTTGAAATTTTTGGAGTTTTTTGTCCGGAAGTTTAGTAGGACAAGCATCAGATTGTAGGAATCGACAACCTGATTTTGAATTTTTGTGGATTAATAAGGTCTATTTTCCCGTTGACAGTCATAACTGCTCTTAGTTATCTCAAATGAATTCCTTTTTATTTTATGCAGATCACTGGAAGATGAAACCATCGTGGTACTGGTTAACATTGGCACAGAATGGGAGGAAATTTGTACCAAACATGTTGGATGTGAAATGCCGTCAAACATGTTTGTGCACACTCGCAGTGGAAATTCTGATCTGAATATTGGGTAAGGAAAAGCTCCATGCTCAGTGCCTCTGTTATTGACTGTTTTGTTATAGAGATCTGAGAAATAATGAAAGTTTTATTATCTCAATTGGACGTATTTCTGCCGAACGGAACTATGTGCATTGAGACATGAGCCCTGAGACCCATAAGAATATATGCATAACAGAGCTCACGTCATAATGCACCGTACCGTTTGGCAGAAATACGTCCAATAACTCTCCGTGAGATCGATTGACCATACGACGGCAAGTATATTCTGTAGCTATTTATACTAACAGGCAGAAACAAATAAACATCGTCTAAGTTCAGAGGAACTGGGGTAAGTGGAACCGTATACAGTTCAAGAGCCTTTAATATAAAAGCGTGTGCTAGATTTGAGCAATCGTGAGTACTTTTTCAAGTAGAACTTCTTGCTGAAATTAGGTGAATCGGTCTTTGCAGGTATGGGCAAAAGAAGAAAAAAAAGTAATTGACGGCAAGTAATCAAGTGCAGAACAAATAGAGATAAATTATAAAATTATGAGCTGAAGCTAAACAGAGATCACAAACTGATTGCGGTAGATGCACAAGTCGTAATACAGTAAGGTGGAATTTTTTAGCCGACGTGCGTTAAAAAACCAGAAAACTGGAAATCTCGACTGATAGTCGTAACTGGTGTTGCACCAAACAGCGTATCTCTTTGAGGGAAAATTGTGCTCAAATGAGCTTTTTCCCTTCATGTTGAAATTTCCAGTTTTCTGGTTTTTTAACGCACGTTAGCTGAAAAATTTCAACTTACTGTCTAAACAGAGATCACTCGGAAAATTAAATTGAAATGGAACTCTAGGTCTACTTACTTTGCTCACTCGATGATGCTAAGAAAAGCCGGGCGTTCGGTCAACTTTGTTAATTATGTAACTACAAGTAGCTATTCTAAGCTTCGTACTACTACTTCAAAACGTTACCTCACTAAAGCTTAACCTGACTTAAAATAATTAAGACTGAAAAAAATTAAAATTTCTAAAATTTGATAGCGACCTATTGGTCATGGTTATAAAAAAGAACTACGTAGCATGGTTACTTCATGCACATTATTATCGCTGTTGTTTTCATTCTTTATTAATTTTCACACAGTTTCTTCTGGCATAAATACACATCCAGTTGAGCCTGAGTTTCCACAATTTATAGGAGTTGCAGCTTGAAAATGAATGCTTATGGTACAACAACACAGAGTAAATATATACTTATATGCATGTAATGAGGAAAGTCAGAATTAGATTTGATTTGGTTATTACAGATGTGATAAGAACATTCCATTGCTTGTTCAATATGTTGCAGGGACAAGGTTTTTTCAAACTCAAAAAGTAGCAGATGTATCCGCATGAGGCCACACTCAGGGCTGGTACTGAGCACGAGCGAAGCATTTTCAGTGCATTCTTCAATTTTTCTTCTCCTCTTAGCAATTTCCGCCAATTTTATTGCGTAAAATTATTGAAAGACCTATAAAGATGAGATCAATAAAGTGTGAGTGCATTGCCATTTTCCTTTTTTTCACTCTCATGCAACATAACTTTTTTTAAATTTTCCAAAACGAAAAATCTGCGCTATTGTCCAAAAAAATCGGGATGGATTGTAAGTCTCCAATTTTAAATTTTAAATGCATGAAATGTCGCAAGACTTTTTTCTTAAATATATTTACACTTCTTTTGTAATTTTCATGCGAAAATTCAATTTCTTGTTTTTTCGAAGAAGTAAACCCAGAATGGATACTTTAAACACCGCAATTCTGAGATAGTATCTTTGTATCCATGCCGCGTCATCTATAATAGTTCCTTGTCCATAAATTGAGGTATTTCATAACCCATAATGTGGTGACCACCATTCTCCGAAAAGCAGGGTTCTGTGACTTTCCACGAGTTCTAAAATCGGCTCAGCAAATCTTGGTACGAAACACTTAACGTCGGCTTAGTGCATGGATTATCGTTATTTAACCCCAAGACGCATTTCATATCTTAAGAGGGCGCATTATGCTATCGTGGGATTATGCCGTAAGTACTGAAGAACAATAAATAAAATGCATACATTGACCCTTTAAGTACGTCAGGTGCATTAAGTCTATTATGCAACTCTAACGATACTGCCTTGACAGGGAAAAACGCCGTATGAACCTTCGTCAAATTTCCTTTGACAAAACGCAAATCTTCGGGTGAACATATAAATATTTTTCTTCCAATTTTTCGGATAATTTTGCTCGTGATTTCTCCTAAAGCTCCTGAAAATATCAAGGAAAAATATTCATAGTTTTCTTTAAAAAATACGCATTTCTTTGGAGGAAACGGTCGAATATACGGCGTTTTTCCCAGCATGGCTGGATTGTAATGCTAAGAGTTGCGGGGGAAAAGTACATTTTTTCTTCCCTTAATTATTTTCGAACTTAGAATTTTTTAGATATTTATTCCCTGTTAAGGAGGATATAGTAATTTAAATTTCAGCCAGGAATTGTTTGTTGCTAACAGAGACAACATATTTTGTAAACCCCGCTTTAAAAATCTGAGCGATGTAATCAGGTGCAGCAAAAATTTAATTCGGAGGGCAACCGCTTTTGGCCTAATGATGGTTGATGAGCAACTTTTTGAGTGTGAAGTCAAGTGAAATTCACCTAATAACGACTGATGAATATCGGGGTGAGCACTTTACTGGGGGATTTTTCGTAAATTGGGGTTGCGAAACCATTTGCCCTATTTTGATCATGAGTCACCCCATTAGGCAAATCTGAGCGTTGACTGCCAAGAGTAACTTTTATACGCTACAGGGAAGTGAAAATAAAAATTCTGGTCCAAACGGCTAAATTTATCGTTTTTTGGCCTCGGTAAAGGATTTTCAAATTTACATGGTGCAAAATACAAGTAAACTCGGTTATATGTACTTGGTGAGGACTGCCCAAGAGGCGTTTAATAAAAGGAACAATCGCGATATTTTCAAATTAAATTGTGATTTTTTACTATTTTATGGCGATAAAATCGTGAGGATCATTAACATCCGAGCGATTATTCTCAATATTGTCGAGATTTCATCTCTTAAAAATCGCGTCCGATAAAATAAAAATTTTATCTCGATTTATCACAATTTTTTGTTCGATACTATGCGATAAATCGCCGTCGATAGAATCGCGATTTTATAGCAAATTATTGCGATGAAATCGGAAAATATCGCAAATTTGTAACGAATCGATGTCAATCAAATCACGATCAAATCGCAACTTATTGAGATCACTACTCGGGTTGTATGTCTTTCGAGAAAATGTTCGGCTCCAATAAAATTGGCGCTTGTTCGACCAGAAAAAGTTTTATGCCGATGAATTAATATAGTTTTGGCAACGCAGCCACTTGCGTATAAATTTCGCTCCGCTTGGACAGACAAATGCGAAAAAATTAATTCAATATTCTGCGGCTTCGGCTCCCACTCCCATCTCGAACAGACTTTTCCCACCCTCCCACGGGGGTAGGACGCAAGAACCCCCCCCCTCCTCTCCTTCGTCCCACACCCCCGCTCCTCTAGATTCGCAAGATACAGATTATCAAGAAGATAACACTTATATCGCCACGTTATGGATTTCCGATCATGTCGTTGACAAATTTATAGCTTAAAACAAGTATTATCAAAAATGAAATTAAGGCCGGAATTCCAAAAGACCCCTTGAAAGGTAGTAAATGTACATTACAATCCTTTTGTTGGAAGCGACCAGAAGGAGTGGCCATCAGTGGCGAGGCGTGAATGATCGATTATCGATATCTCCCCATTTGAGGCCGTTGTAAAGAATTGATTATTAAGATGTTTGTTGCGAACACCCTGATCATCGATCCTTTTCCGCGGGTTCAAATGGCAGATCAATCGATATATCGCAAAGCGCGCCTCGGCACTGGTGTCCATGTGGGGGTAATCTGAGGGAGAGTCCTAAAATTTGTCATGCACATTATAAAATGTTAGGTGCATCTCTGCAGGACAATCGGGAGTTGCAGTAGGTACCTATTACTGCGTTACTCTTCTAGTGGAAGATGTAGTACTGAGCCGCCACAAATTACGGGAAAAAATGGATTGCTGATTTAACAATTAAATTGTTAAAAAATATATCCAACATGTTTCAAATGTACATTTTACAAGATTGGAAAGCTAATTTAACCACGAGGGTGGTTGAATTAGCATTTTTGTACACTGGTAAAAAAACACATTGGATCTAGAGTCCAGACTCTTAAAAACATCGACAAGAAAATATACTCTTGATTCAGTCAGATTCAAGCTTAAATCAAGAACTGAGTCTCTTAATTTGAGCGAATTTCCATTTGACTTAAGCTTAAATCTGATTGAATCAAGAGTCCGTTTTCTTGTCATTGTTTTCAAGAGTCTGGACTCTAGATCCAATGTGTTTTTTTTTTCAGTGTATCGTAAAATCTACATTGAAACATGTCGGGCACTATTTTTAAGTAAAAAACTGTTAAATCAGCAGTTTCATTTTTCCGCGATTCTATAACTCAAGAGCGGATTATTTTATTGCCCATGGAAAAATTAAAGGGATCAGTCTATGTTGATTGCATGTTTGTGATCTTATCACTAATTCCCTGCACTAGACGCCACTCGTAAATGATGAATTACTTAACAACGTACTTAATTGGCCGATTGATTATTCATAATATCAGCAGCACGTTCTTTCGCCTTTACCCCAGCTGGTTGAGGATGGTATCGTTAGAATTCTAAATTTTGAAAGAAAAAAGATAACAGGCACGAATCAGGAATTGAGTAAGCCTCATAAAGCCAGGCCTATCGCCTCTTTTAGTGCTTATCGTCGCCTAAGAAAAACTATGAATCAGTTTTTTATGTAATTTTATTTCAGGCTTGAATATATTCACAGATTTTCTAAAACACATTAATACTGAAATATGTCCATACGTTTTCTCGACGACTTTTTTCTGAAATAAAACCAAAATATCCTCATTTCATTCCGTAAAAATTCAAAACACATTTTCCTCAGAGCTTTGCTGAAATTTATGCACTTTTCCTAAAAATTGCGTAAATACATAGTGGGACGCGGGAATAATGATATGGTGAAACCAAGGTTAGCTTTTGAGTAAAGGTAATTAAAGTTCTGGTGCAATTTACCATACTTTCGCAAAATATGTGTCGTAGTATGTTGATTACTACCAAGACCTCAATTACCCGCACCTAAAATTTTTTGTGCGTCCAAAATCAAGTAGCATTGCAATCATACTTACCATACAATAAATAAATTCACCATACTTTTTCCGTGTATATCCGCGTTTTTTGTACTGCCGCTTAATGACTTTCGTAAGATTACACTAGCCGTTTTTTAATGATGTCTCATTGTCTATTACGCCTGGTACATTCCATCGTGTTAGAGTTAAAAATAAAGAGAATGGTATATTTCAAATCGATGAAAAATCTGAACACAACGTAAAAAGCTACTTTCGATCCCACGATTCGGTTTCATACTTCATCAAAATTTTACCATTCAAACCGGCATCGACACCTCGATGCACAAACACAAACACGCGTCTAGACTCACCCCATTCGGTCTTACGCTTGGCGCCGCTCCAAAAACGGGGGAGGGCGCTTTCGGAAGAGAGTGTGGGTGGGGNGAGACCCGAGGAGGGTTGCTCTTGCGGGGGCGGCGGGGGAGTAACGCGAAACTTCGGATACTCCGACTCGAAGTTCGCGCCATCTGTAGCATACTTGCCAAAAAAATAGCGAAAATGAAAACATGAGCGAAGAAAAGCACGCACAGTGCATTTTCCGACCAACTGGCTTCCGTGCTCTCAGTTCAGGCGCAATTTCGGGTGATCGACGATTTTTATACTTTCAACTTCGAATTGTGGAGAATATCTGCTGTATCGAAATATATTTGGTCATTGAAGTGATAATTTCGTGCAAATCCGTGTCGGAGATATTTTTATTCTACCTCGCGAGTTGCATTCGGTCAACGTAAGATACAAAATAAAAATAGAAATACTGTTGAAATAATAAATGTTTGAAATACGTTTGTGACCGTCAACAGGGAAAAGGGACAGTAATCTATAAAAACTCAAAATTTAGGTATGGATATTAATATTTGGAAGAGTTTGTCTTGAACCGTTTGCGGACCACAAAAAGGCTAGGAAAAAACAGGAATGGAAAAGAAAGAGAAAAAGTTAAAAAAAAAATTGAAAAATACATTCAAGCTCTGGCGGGTTAAAGTTGCAGTAACAGAAACACAGTTTTGAGAAAAAGTTATGTAAATTAAAACTCTGAGCTGAAAACTTCAGGTCGTCATGATTCCAATTTGATTTGACTGTTTTGATCTTATGGTGCCAGAAAGTCTGCGGAACACTCATTCAGATATTAGTGCGAGTAGCTGAAATTTAATTTTTTTTAGTTGCGAGGTTCTCATTGCCGTGGACAGTCACTCAAAAAAAAAATCAATCTCAAATTTACTGAAAAATTGATCCGATAGTTGCATAACCGCAGGCTTGGCAAAATTAAGTATCATT